TGATGGAACCGAGAAAGATTTGAAAGAGACCGCATTCAATATTTACGTAAAATAAAATTAAATATTATTATGTGTGTGCCGTTGATTTTTGGCCGGTCACGCGAATTTGGTATTTTGGTTTCATTCTAATGTATGAAATCGATAACATCAATGATTTTCATTTGTTTGAAGAGGCTTTTTTTATTATTAAATTTTATATTACATAAAATGGTGTTAAGGTTGATGGTACGTTTATGTTAGCCGAAATCAACTCAACTTGAATGACCCAAGTAGACTCAAGACTGTTAAAATGTTTCAAATCTTGACCAATGGAATTTTACAAAGAAGATCACCACATTGACACTTGACATACAAATAATTTAACAGCGATGTCAAGCAATTTTATAGCAAGTCTCAATTCTTACGATTCAAAGTATACATAAACTCTTTTTATTCTAATATAAAGTTATTTCTCCGGTAATTGCATATTAAACCATTGAAAATATTAAAAGAATATTTAAGAGTTCGTGGACGTTTTTTTCCGATGGAATTTTGTTTACAACAATTTTCGAAAATTTTTTAAATCTTAAGTGGGGTTTACTTGGGTAAGTTAAAAAAAAAAAAACTGGTATAAAAACCGGTGAAAATGGCCAAAAAGATTTGTTTGGTAGCATTGAAAAACATGTAAAAAAGCGAACGGTACAATCTAGACCATTCATTCATGTGCATCGTGCTTTCAGTGTTCTGCGGTCAATGAGTTCGAACATCAGTTGTTTCTTTTTTCTCAACGACAGTGCTTTAAAAAAGTAAATACCATTTTTAATCTTGAAAGTGAAGTTTTCTGAGTGTTTGTTTGATTGTCTTACAAAAATGTATACGGACGAATCTGGTGAGTCGGCACTCAAATGCCGGATTTCAATTATTTAAAAGCAATTCATTCAAACGATTGATGTCTGCATCGATGAAAGACAAAAAAATAACAATAACCAAAAGTGTTCTTCTGTTACATTCATTCGGTTGCGATTAAATTTAAATATACCTTCGAACTCTTTGTCAAAATGATCGAAACAAAACGGTTTTGCGCACGACTTGTCTACAATTTAATGTAGAAATTTAACAAAAATTACAAATGTAAGACATTGTAATTTCCAAAATTTAAGAGAATGCAAAAAAAAAACATGCGAATCAGCTACACGCAAATTTTCAATGCGAATCAAGCAGCCGAAGAAAAGAGACGATTTTTTTTCCGAGAAATTGACCGTGTTCACAGAATGGAAAATAAAAAGTTTACGATATTTATTACAATTATTGTCATTATCTAAAGTCAAAGTCAGTGAGAGAGAGGCATACACAAAGCGGGAGAGTCAGATGGAGAGAAAACAATGTAATTTATAGCGAAAAAGCCCTTCACACTGAACATGTACATGTAATCAAAGACGATCGCATACATGATAAATTGTGAAAGGCCAAACAAGCGTTAAATTTTTCGCAAATCGTCAAATTTTAATTGTAATGTGAGCGAATCAATTCTTGTAGTTTTTGTTTCTTCGCCGTTTTTTTTTCTTCTTCTTTCTTTTCATTTCTTTTTGTATTCGGCAATTGCGTGCGTAGCTGACAATTATGTTAAAGCGTATGTGTGAATAGAGTGTCGATAGCCCATATCATATACTCAATTGCATTTTTAAATGCAATGAAAACTGAACATTTGCGTTTAAACATTTTTTTTTTGTTTGCTCATTTAACTATGTAATTAATTGCAAACCACATAATTCAAAAAAGAAAACAAAAAAAGTGAGAAAACAAAATTCTGCGTGATGCATAAAGCAAAAGAAGCTGTATGGCATTGAAATGAAACAGGATTGTAGATTATTGAAAAGGTGCTCGCTTATACACAAAAAGCCAATGTTGGTGTTCGAACGTCATACCATACATTAAACACTTGCGTCTTTCGTAGAATACGATTCGGGCTAAATTTAGCCTTTGTTTTCATCAATTATTCTTGGCCTTTGATTGGTTTCTTTTCTTTTCCCACAAAAATGATGGAGAAAAAACCATTCAAAAGACGTAAATATCGAATTCCAAAAACAAAGAAAACACACACACTCACACAATATTGGAATTGTACGATGTATGGTCAATATTAGTCCAAGCTCATTCTGACTGTGCACAAACATACAACACATTCAACAGTTTTAAACAAATTAAAAATAAAAAGGCAACAGACGTATGCCATTGCCCGCAATAACCCGTGCGGACTCTGTATACTTTGGAAATGGCTTACGTACTTTCATGTGGCTTGGTTTCCATTTCGGTCTGAAAGTGTCATCTAAAGTCCAGCATCCATTAAATACATGATAATTATCATGTGGTTTCAAATTTATCGATTCCAATGTTTTCAAATCGCCTATTATAAGGAATATATCATTTGGTACAAGAATCCAAATTTAATTTGAAAAAAGTTTCAGAAACAGTGATTTCCAAAATCAAAACTTTCAATTGTATTTCAACAAGCACATGACATGCACGTACATTTCGAATTTCGTGCGATCGAAGCGCCGCGAACTTTAAATATATTTCAAATGAGGCTTCATTAGGACTTCAGCCGTCATTTCTTATCATGGGCCTGTAAATCAAAGTGTATAATCGAAACTCTTGGATACCTATCCGAAAACTACATGAACCTTTTATACTTTATCAAAATGCAATTGTTATTTTTCTCACCAAAAAATACCCATTGCAGTTGGATAAGTTATCAAATTGAAAAGGTGTATTACCGCAGTAGCATGCATGCTATTTTGAAAGTATGCATACAATGCCCGGGTTATATATTAAAACGTTTCTATTAAGTCAATAGCTGAATTATTTGCCGCAATCGAGACGAAGCACAAATGATTTTCAAATAAAATGAGCTTACAATTACATTTACGCTGCGAATCGTGTGTGTTGTTTTTTTTTCTTCATATGCCAAATACCCGGCGCGCACATGTATAATGTACACAAATGCGTTCATTGCATTTGTAATAGAATTGCAGTTAACGTAAACAAAGCGATCAATGAAAACCAGCAATGCAAAAGCCAGTCAACTCGACACGTCTCTCAGTGTTTGCGGAAAATAAGTAGGGCAAGAGAAAGCAATTGGGTGTTGTTGTTTCTTTTTTTTTTGTGTGTGTGGTTGTATCATTGTTGGTTTTGTTGTTTCGTTTACTGGATCTGGTGTTGTTGCTTGCCATGGCTCTCTTACGTATTGTAATGCACTATCGTCTATGTATATATCGTTATGTATATGTAGAGTCGACAATAACTGCATCGGTTTGTTTCGTTGTGATGATGTGCTCCATATCAAAAGCTGTATATGATTCAAATAAAAACAGCATTTGTAAATCGACACATCTCCAGCTCTAGATGTAAAGCAGCAATACTTATGACACACTCAGAATGGCAGTCAATTATAAATCTCTCGATATGCGCCCAATGACTTCACTTATAAATCCACACCATATATACAATTCAATGAACTGCGATTCACTTTTGTTTGTAATCAACTTGTATATTCACATTTTCAAATGCAATTTCAAATCGTTCACTCTCACACATGCACACAAATGTGCGCCAATATTCTTATGGGTCTTCATATCTATAGGTGTTTTTCATTGTTTTCGAGCTGAAAAAAAACATTGAATTTTTCAATGAATCGGACTGTGTGAGTGTGTCTTTATGTTTGTTAATATATTTTTTTTTTGGAAATGGATGGCATTCCCATTGGCGCCGTTAATCGGCTATTGTACCGATAGAAAATGCTTTTGAAATGCAGATTATACCCAGATGTACATTCGATGCATACACAGACAATGCAACTCAATGTTGTTAGTTCAGTTCTCTGAACCCGAGCGACGAGCGCAACGACGACGACACTGTATCTACTACAAATTACTGTGGCCTGCGTTGCAGTTTTGTGCGATGATCTTTTTTTTATATAACTTTCTCATTATGCATTTGTTCACCGTTTCGACTTCACAATAGAACATAGTCTATGTATTATATAAATTCATATTAAATTATATAAATGCAATGGCAAAGAGCTCAATAAACTTTTACCTCTTTCACTTTCGTTCGTCTGATTATTTTAATCCGATTTGATTTTGATTTTGATCGCGGAAATTTGATGAATTCGAACGAAACAATTCATTAGTATTTACCGACTGAAAAAGTATGACTTGGTCAATTTTGAATAGTATTACATTAACTTGATCTTCGTTGCTGGAAGTAAAGCGATACGTTAATTTTGATTCTTTGAATCGTGTTTCACAATGTTTCTATGAACGTCATCAATTTAAAAAGAGAAAATTTTCCAAGCATTGTCAATTAGCATCGATTATGACGTGGTGAGCTTATGCGCACATGCATTTTACTTTAATGTGTGACCTTTATTTTTACGAAAAAAGCTCAACTATTCAAAAATTTCGGTATTAGACTGTTGTGATATCATAAATCATCCATTGTTGAATTGATCATTGCACATCTTCTTTAATTTTTGTTTCATTCACCATTTGACTGTATGTATTGTTTTACACCGCATACCCGAAAAAAGCAAAATGTGTACGAAATCTTGCGAGGAAGTTATGTGTGGCGATGTAAATTGACAACCACAGAGGAGAACAACACAAGCAGTTTTGAAAAAGACGAGAGAAAAAAAAAAATACCCAAACAACAAGAGCTGGAGAGAGGGAGAAAGCCAAAAGACTTCAATTATTTCGATTTATTTGTATAGTCCATACGTGCAAAACCAAATACATATATCCAAAGCGAACGCAACAGCAGCTAGCTAGCAATGTAAGGCAACCAACCACCAACATAATGAGCAAAATGAGCGGCATGTACACAGCCTGTGTGTGATCATGTATTGAATGTTTTGTATATTGAAGCGATCTCCCACTTTCGGTCTCACCGTAGATTTCGGTTTTTCTTTCGAAATAATGTGTGCGTTTTTTTCAGCGCGCCGATGTGGTCATATGGTAGCGTAAACTCTTTTCATAATTTAGTTTGGCTGAATCTACCTCTAAATTAACAAGTGTTTTCCTTCATTCCCTTATTCAAAAACTTTTTCACACACAATTTTTTTTTCTTTTAAATTTCGTTTTCAAATTAAAAATTTTGTTGTTTTTCGTTCGAAATTTTTTTGGTTTCGATTTTTATTTCGATAAAATTAAATATAACTTAAAGGAATAACCACTTTTCAAAAGTAAGTTTACATTATTTTTTTATATTCATTTTTAATCTGTGCTACGAAATTTTCATTTATATCGATTTGTTTGAATTTTTTTTTCTCGCATCGATAAATATTGAGATAAGGGCAATTCATTTTGAATGTGCTTTTGGCATCCGTATCAAGCAACTTCAAATGGATTGAATCAAATCGCCAATTTCGTTCATTGAGAATGTAATTCATTGGCGTGAAGTGTGCTACCAAGTGTCATAAAATATGCACAAAAATAAATACAATTTGCAAAGTGGCACGAATTCCAGCTAGTTAGTTTTTTTTTTGCCTACTTTTTTGTATAACGCTGATCACGGATAGATATAGAAAACAAAAAGCAACAAACGTTCATTAAAAGGTTCGGTGTATAGAATTTACAATACACCATTCATACGATGAAATTCACACATTGTGTGTGAGTGATATGGAATTGTGCACTGAATTTCACATGTCATAATAGTTCGGTGTTTGTGTGTATGTCAAATGTACAAGTTCTATATAAATTATATTTACAAAATGACCAAAAGCAAAATAAAACACTCGCTCGTTGCTGTGTGCTGTCTTCAGCTGGTTCGATGTGTTTCCTTTCTTCGTTTTTTTTTTTTTATTTCGGGCTTGAAAATCATGCTTTATGATTATGCCAATCGATTTAACATTTACATATTCATTATTTATTCAACAATTTATTCGGATCAGATCGAGTTTGACTTACTTTTCATTCCATCCTTTGTTGTATTCGAATGGTGTTTCTATCTCTTTCTGTTGGTCGTCTGAATTTTGAGAGTGAGAAGAAAAAAAGCTGCTATTAGTACAGTTACATAATACAAAATGTGTTCACAACTCTTAAAGGTCACGAAACATATCAGTTTGTATCCATTGAACAAAGTTAAACTGAAATATGGGAGAGCCACAGAGAGAGAGAGAGAGAAGGAGAGAGAGAGAGAGTTAAAAGAGCTGCTGGTATGGCTTTCGATTTCATAATCGAGTTTCGGTGTTGCGATGTAACGTGTTGACTTGCTGAAGAATTCATAAATATATTTATTTTTTTCTTATTCGTTCGTTCGTTTGATTGCCGAAGAAGTTGAAATGAAATCGAAAGTTCTCCGGAGCTGTCCAAACGTCAATTCCCAACCAAATACAATTCGATTTCACAATCAAGCCAAACAAGTCAAGAAACTTTTTCAATGTTCAACGATTTCGTCATTTTTGTGTGTACGTAGTTCTGGACAGAATGCATGTTGAATTTCGAGTTACCGCATTCGGTAACACGAAAAAGAAGAAGAAGAATAGGAAATGAAACGGTATTGCAACACTAAGCTTAAGAAGTGATTTTTTTTTGTTGTTCAAGTCTTTCGATTCGTTTGAGTGGATTTTGAATGATTTGAGTGACGCCTTCCTGGTTTTGGGTGAGAATATATCATTTAAAGACAAAAAAAAACTTCCACTAATGTTTTTTAAATTGATTGATCAGGTTTCAGCATGATAACATAATTTGCGTGCACTGATTACGGAACTAAAAAAAACAGCAGCAACCTTGCTCTTTTGACAAGAATACAAAAAAAAAACATGAATCAAGTGTATATTAGGTGCACAATTTTATCGATTCTATGAACGTGTTAACACAGAATGTGAACAACATATCGTTGTCATTGTCACTGATTGGCCTAGGTAGTTTTCAAAACAAGATTCACTGGAATATTCTCCGAAAAACGAACGTCAGCCGTTTATCAACCGTCACACGTTACACACAATGTGCCGGTTATAGTTTGTGTTCCGTTTACGTGAATAGAATTTTGTGGAGTGAATCAAAACTAACGAAACCAGATATAAACTTTTGTTAGAGCAATTTACTTCAATTATTTCTGCCGCATTGTTGTTTTGCGTTTCCTTCGTTTTTATTCTTCGTACGCAAAAATTTAAATCAAATTTGATTTTATTACTTACATTGCTTCGTACGTTTTACGAATAATAATAATGATGTATCATTGAATTTACGAAATTTACTTTCGTGCGTTTTTTTTTTTTTTGAAGGGAAAACGGAACTACGTTCCATCACTTTGAATTCAAAGAAGAAACACATAAACAACGGCAACAACTGAGTCGAATCGAAGAGACGGTAGTTGTGGTTTTTTTGGAGTAAACACAAAATAATTCCAAATTTTGCAGTGTTCAATTAAAAGGCCATTTCGGACATAAAAATTGTAAAGGAGCATTGGAAACGAGATTCAACATGATTGGTCCCCTTTCACCGTATTTCCGCAAATTTCTTCTTCCCGATTCCCCGAATTTCCACTTGATTCTGCTTAAATTGAATCGAAGAAATTCGAAAGGCTCTTATTTTTGAGAGGAGCCAAATGTCAATTGCCAAGAAGAAGAAATGAAATAAGATAACAGCGGTCGTGTGTGTGTGTCTGGGTGTAGTAGCAAAACTATAATGCAGTTGCGTTGTCCGTGGTACTTGATGATGGTAGTGATGTAATTGTTGCTTGTTTTGCAGCGCCAACTCAAATCGATTTGTAGACAGAAAATGAGAAAGTTTCGTTTTCTTTTTCTCGTTCAAAAGAAACGCTACGGCCTTAGTTTTCTCTCTTCCTCCATTGTATATTAATATACATTGTTGCCGATGTGATTTCAATTGTGTGAAGAAATGAAATGCTTTTTAATTCAATGGCAAGCGATGGCAAGTAACAATCACTCTCTATTGTGGTGTTCATTTTATTGTCGATTCTATCGTTAACACTTCTTCTGAAGTAATCGACTGTGAGTACCTATGACGTTTATTGTCCAATGATATACCGATTGCATTATCCGAAACTTACATCAAAAATCAAGATCGTCGTCACTCCGCGACATAATAAAAACGATTTTGCCGGTTACGAAAACTAAATTCCATGAAGTTTGAGACGCCGCAATCATATTTGGGCGATCCATCGATTTTGTGTGTTGTAATCACAAAATCTAATGAATTGATTCCTCTTTGTTCGGCTGAGAAAGAGAGAAGAAACGAGGAAAAAACCCATCTGTACCGTTATTAATTGCATTATGTTATGTGATCCGTTGTTGCTGCTTAAAAATGCTGATTCGTTGACGATGTATTATATAATTTCGGATGTTTTGTATGTGCCGCTATATTTTCATTTTATATTATGCCAACACCAAAGTATAATCACGCTTTATATTATAGGCATTAACGAAAGTATAAATATAAAAAAAAAGACACACACACGTCCATATAAAAAAATAATAGCCGCAAAAAACTTAATATCTTGTTACATGTATCGAAAGAGATACCAGCATGGCCAAAGAGTGCTTGGATTACAAATGAGTAACCGGCCATAGACACGGCAGCAGACAGCATCGGTCAATTTAAAATTACATTCATTTCAACACAACCACCAACGTGAATGTATGCGGAATTTCGAGTCTATGCCGTTACGATTTCACTTTTCATCGAACGGTGTGTGTGTGTGGACAGATCATAATGTGATCGATTGCGTTGTTCCGTCTTGGATTTTATCAGTTGTAACCACACACACACCATAATTGAATTCAAAAATCTGTCGACATTTTCAAATCGAAACACTCTCAGAACACTCAATATATTCTCTGTGATTTTAATTCAAACCACAAAAATGGTGATCATAGACAAATTTCGAACATGGTGTGGTGCATGGCGTGTGGTTTCTCCTTTGCTTACTGCATATATCGAAATGTGTCGCAAAAATAGATCGCCGTCGATCTGGGAATTGTGTGCATTTTCTATTGCAGCAATATCGATAAATAAATCTATTTTTTTTCTCACGCGCATGTTGAAATTAGAAATCCAGTTAGATTGGTGGCTTGGCCAACAATATACTGAGTGCATTGCCACATTTCAGCGTTTGATTTCCATTTGGGAAATACTACGCGCGTACTTATATTTCTTCTTTTCGCATGATTTTCTCGTTCCTACATTCACAATGATGTCATTGATCGCTGCCATGCAACAACAACAACAACAACAAAATGCTCACCAATTCAGAGCGATAAGTTGACACTGCGTCAACATGACAGTCAACATGTTTGCAGTGTAAATAATCGTCATCATCAATACATACATACGCCGTGATTGTCCGTGGACAACATACTCTATCAATTGAATTGGGTATGCTTACCTTTTGATTACGAAGGTAAACAAAGTAATTTTATGACACCTCATGCGCTTTTTATATCAATTGACCAACAAAAAAATCGCGTCAATTGTAAATATTCGTTTAATCAAGCAAGTCATTAAAGTTGCACATAAATTCTCCTTTTTTTATGTGTGTGAAAATCCGTTGACGTTATAAACACACTTGACCCAGTCTATAAATGGCGCCCGCCATTCGCTGTTATTCAGCTTCATATGAAAATAGTACGCTGAGTTCCACGAAATTGAAATTTTTGAAACTTTACGATCAACAAATAAACCATACACTAATCATAATAAAATATTGAGGTGAAAAAAAGGCGATTTCTCGCATTTATATGACACACTGGTCACATGCTTGTTGGTTTCTGGTCAAAAACCCAGAGAATAATTGATCATTAAAAAAAATAATGCGAACATTCGTTCGATGACATAAATAATAAAGAAAAAACCCCAGCTCAACTTTTAACAAAACGTCACAAATCGTATGTTTGCATTTGAAACCGCAACAAAGGCTGATTCGTTTGACAAGTGTATTCAATTTGTTTGTGGTTATAAACATTGGTGTTCCAAGGTCAAAAACTACATTTCATCAATTTTATCACACACACACATCATCATGTTTGTAGATATGGTGTGCGTATATGGTATTTTTTTCTTCTTTCTTCCTTCCTTTCTGTTTCGTGTGAGAGTTTCGATATGTGTGTGTATGATGGGTGCTTTGGTCGTGATTCATATGTAACTCGGACTGTTGCTGTTAAATCGACAATTAATCTAATTTAACATTTGAATTTCAAATTCGACAAATTGCGTAACGTTTGCATTCATCGGTATATGTGATACACGATAAAATGTTGAACCAATTTGTCTACTTTTTATGATTGAAAAATGGGATGCATCAAAAAGTGCACCTCAAATGAAATCGAATGTATTCAATGAACATGCATTTATTTAAAGCCTTTCAAATGTGATAGATTAACCAATTGATAAAGATTAGGTCATGAGGAAATGAATGAATGCTGCTTTTGCATATTCAATACAAACAATCGTAGTACTTCATAGTTTAACTGCACATTATTATAAACAACCATTTTCGCGATTCATTTCCGTTGCCATTTTCACATTAAATATTGTGTATGCGCAAGATACAGCTGAAAAATAAACGCATGTGCTAAAATGCAACAACGAAACTTAAATTCGAACATAAAATGCGTTTGCCGATTTGGAATTGTTTCCATAAAAATTAATAAATTTAGCACATACGTACATAAAATTGCAACTTGGTATAGCAAAAAAAAAGAGAACATACCAAGAAAACGTATTGGTTAGCATTTGTGATAAGTTCAATCATCGATCGATCAACGGATATGCGCACAACATATTTTTTTTGTATTTATATCTGTATCTCTCGCTCTCTCTTTCTCGATATCACCTATTGTGCTTATTTCCCCTTCTTTTATTCGAATAAATTTTTCTCCATCTTTTATGCGTATGTTAAAAACTTGCAAAACGGCACCAATATGAAAATAAGGTTTATTCATCGATGCGAATGCTTAAGCAGTTGGAACAAGTAGCAATTTTGAGATTAAATTGCAATGCATTCGCTTTTTGGTCATATATGAAAAACGGCAAGATACCATTCGAAATAAAATTGAAATATGTGCGTTAGATCGAAAAGTGTGTGTGTGTGCGAGAGCTCGAGTTAATTGATTAATAAATGAAATAATTGACGGAGTGTGTGCTGGTCGAAAGCTGTGGTTTGATTAAGCGATCATTACATCAGATTGACTTACGCAAAATGCCGTACACCGATTATAATCTATTACTGTCATACCCATTCGTCCGCCAAAGGCAATGTACTAACTTTTTCACCATTTCACATATCAAAACAATTAACTATACAATACGTGTATGTGACAAGAAAATTCATGATAATTGAATACCTTTTATTTTAAATAATTGACCATGTTTAATGTTTCTTTTTTTTTTTTCAATTTTTCGTTCACAGTGTTGCAAACCGAACCAGTAATTTCCGATTTGAAAACCCCAACCAATGACACCCAATACGATCCATATGTATGTTCGTTGAATTCACAATTTAAAAAAATCGCAAAAGATGAATTGCGCGAAGATGAAAACATTCGAACTCAAGCGCTGGCACAATTTCGTGAATGGATTGCCAAGCATCCGCATATCAAACGATGCCGTACCGACGCTGTATTTTTATTGCGATTTTTGCGTGTAAAAAAGTTCTCATTGCAACCAGCCTGTGAAATGTTGGAAAAATACTTAACCATTCGTCAATTATATCCGCAATGGTTCCGTAGTTTAGATATCGAAGATAAAGCATTGGAAGAAATCATTGATATGGGCTATGTTGTACCATTGCTTGAACGTGATGAACACGGGCGTCAATTGATTTTAACCTGTGCCGGACGTTTCGATCCATATCGTTTTACATCAGCTCAAATGGCACGAGCCCATTCACTTGTCACCGAAGCACTTTTGGACGATGAAGAATCACAAGTGGCCGGCTATTCGCATATCAACGACGAAGAAGGTTTAAGCATGGGATTACTTAGCTTATGGTCATTGACTGATATCCGCGCCATGTTAAAATGCATTCAGGTAAACAAAAAAATTAATTCAATTTGTTTTTGATTTGTAACGTTGTGGTAATGGAAAAATTCGTCTCTCTAGAATTCGACACCGATGCGTTTGAAAGAGTCGTACTTTGTTAATTTACCAGCGTACGCAAATAAAGTGATGGAATTTGCAATGGGCGTGCTTAACGAAAAGCTGAAGAAACGTGTTATCGTAAGTTGAAAATTCGAACATTTAAACATTTGAAAAATTTTGTTGACACTTTCATTAACATATTTTTTCTCTTCTTTTTGCACATGAAAACAAACAAAAAAAAATCTAGTTCAGCAAAAATCTCGAAGAATTAAAAACAAAAGTAAATCCAACATTGTTGCCAAAAGAATACGGTGGCACCGTTCCATTGAACGATATGATTGATGCATTCAAAGCACGTCTTCGGCGACAACGTGAGGCAATCCTTGCTTTGGATGACATGTACATTGAAATCACAAAAGAATCCACCAATTTTGCTGGCAACGATGATGCAGACATTGATGCGGGTATGGTCGGTAGTTTTAGAAAATTAGAGGTAGATTAGAAACTGTACACAAAGTGACAACAAAAAAAAAACATAACAAAAAATGGCAAATTCTCTTTCTGCCTTCTGGTTGCTTGGGATGTAGGTATTTTTTTTTATCTGAAAACAATTCAAATTGACGAAGATCTCCTTCTTTTGTTTATCTTTTCTCCCCTTTTTTTCCCATTAACAATTGTATATTTTTTTCTATTGGTTTCAATGCTTATCTCAATTTTACTTCATCTTATCCAATTCTGAAACAAAAATGAAATGGATGGGGACTGTTAAATCGGAAATGATTAAATAAGAAACTCTTGTTTGCACTTGGTAGACGCTAAAAGGCATTAAATGTTGCTTTTCGCTTTTGACAATTGATGTAAATTCATTTTGAAATGATTTAAAACAAAAAAAAACAATCTCGTTATAAATAATGATGATTGCAATGAAAAAAAAAGTTCCAAAATAAATTTAACCACCCCTTTCCTATCCCTTTTCGGCTTCCACTAATGAGAATTTGGAACATTCAAAATTATGACAACTAACATTATGCAGTGTGGCACTATTTGCTTCTTTTTTTATTCTTCTTTATCTATCCTAGTTTAATATCTATAAGTAGCTGTAAGCACAATTTGTAATTTGTACTTTGGACAAAACAAAATATTAATCAATTTCTTTTGTATATGTTGAACAAATTTCATGCACAATTTATTAAGGTAACTTAAAATGAGCAAAAAAAAACACACACAAACAACCAATAATTATTTAATATTCATAGTTGCACGATTGCATTAAATTGTATATGTCCACACATAAACGCACAAAAAAAAATGAAAAACATAAACTCCCATTCTATTGCTAAATATAAATGTGAGAGCCCGTCGGTGGATAAAGTTACCATATCTGTGATCCTTTTCAAAAGGGATTTTTTTTTATTAAATGTAACTCATTTTATTTTCTTTTTAAATATTTTAGTGAATTTAATTAATTCGTTTCATTCATGTTTTTTAATTTAAGAAATTTCAAACGATTTTTTTTTTTTTTGGAAAATTATCAAAATTTTGCTTAAGCATTTTTTCGATTCAATTTTAAACAAAAATATTTAACAAGTTTTATTTTCTTGTGTGACACAAATTAAAAAAAAATTATTGTATTTCGCATTTCAGGCTAAAAATAAAAATTTGTACATTTTTGCCGTTCAAACATTGATGTTTTATTCATGAAGAATGTTGCCGTTTGATCGAAATCGATATCTTTTACTGAAAAATAACTGTAATAATGATGACGTTATTTGATCAGACGGCATATTAGTCCTTGAACTCATTTCAATCCCACTCAGACACATTGGAGGAGCTATCTGTTGAAGATTGTAAACATCGTCGTCTGATGCACTCAAATACATGAGAATCAAAAAACAAAAACAGCATTTATTCATTTAAAATCTCTTTATTGCTTTTGATAACAATCCAACATGTTGCAAACGGTTTGTAAATGACTTTATTTTTAGACACTTTCAAAAATGATGTCAAAAATAAAATTCTTGGCGAAAGGTAAATTTATTTTCAACGAAAAAGTTTATTTTCCATACTGTTTATCGTACCAAAAACAAAGTGCAATCATACTTCTAAATATCGTACGATAGATATCGCTCCGGTCGGTTTGTATTTTGAATCACACATATACTTATGAAATTGTGACAAAAATTGACAGTTTCAATGGCTCACGCGTCAATTCGTCCCAAATCACGTAAATACAATTCAGTATATAAATGCGCTGTCGTTTACAGTGTTTTTGTATTCTTTCAACAAATCGCCGTCGTGTATAAATTAGACAACAAGACGGGAAGAAAGTGAGTTTTTTTTTGGAGGACGAAAACAAAACAACGACATTATTGTGAATTGCGATATATGCGTTTGTTTTTGTTGTGTTTGTTTTTGTATATATCGAAAGGTATTTTGATAAATTGCAATTATCAAAAGAACGTGAGAACGTGTTAAAAAAATTTGCAGTGCATTGATTTGATATTATTGGAAACGAAAAAAAAAAACAAAATAGGAGTAACACAGATAAACAATGCCATTGAAAAAGAAAAAATATAATGCTCGCTTTCCGGCTGTAAGTGAATTACAAAATAACATTTCTATTATTTTTTATTAAACGAAACAAAATTTCTAGCCAATAAAAACCAGTTATCGTTTTTGTGAATGTTGTTTGAGTTGAAGAATGTTTCTTGTTTTTTTTTTGCTTCTTTATTGTCGTGGTCAAAAACACAAATAAAACAGTTTGGTTGTCAGAGTAGGTTGTAGGTGATAAACAAATCAATTTATTGGATTTTACTTATTCGTTATTTCGATTCGGCCGATCGCGTCGACAGTGCCCATTCTAGGAATAAGCTACTTGGATGTTGTTTATTCGAATTTATGATTTTTTGTGTTTGTTTCGCTTTTTCATGATTCGTTTTTGTTTTTTATTCGCAGGGACGAATCAAAAAGATCATGCAGAGTGACGAAGAAGTGGGGAAAGTCGCACAAGCTGTACCAATCATAATCTATATCCTTTTTCAAAAATAAAAAAAAACCACCAAATAAAAACAAACACGTATCATAACTCTATATAAATTGTATCGTATATAGACAAATGTATTCGATGCGTGTTTCGTACATTGCGCGATATCATCACAAATAAGTGATTCTGTGTGAAATTTGTATAGTGTTTTTTTTTAAATATATATATTTGAGGTTAGGTCACTTGCTATTTTATTGCAATTAAATAGTAGTCTATGCGTATACACAATAATTCGTTCAGTTTTTTATGGTTTTGTATGCAGTTCGCCTCTTCTTCTTCTGTCAATTTGAATTTAATTGAACATTTCGTACGAAACTCATCTCTGACTGCGATAGAAAACTTGTTTTGTATTTATTTAGAAGCCACTATGAAAGCGATACAGATGAATTCAAATGCAAATTACTATTTTAATTGCATTAATTTCAGCAATGAACTTAATTCGCTATATACAATGAACGTTTATTTAGATACACAATTTTTTTTTTTAATTTCAATAACAACAAATGCATTTATATTCCTTAACCGAAATAAATACCTCGAACTTTGGAGCTATTCGTTGAATCAATGTTGACCAAAACATTGAGAATTACAAATGCACGAAATGCAAAAACCCTATCACCGTCGCATATGAAGCAATGCATTATGTCCGAGAGTCGGTTTGATTTTTTACGTGAATTGGTGAAAAATATACCCGATATTAATGTGGCCGAGGAGCAACAATGTGACATATATCCCGAACGACGTGAATCGAGTGAAGATGGTATGCTGTCAATTGATTCACCTGTAAATGGTGTGGTTGGCAATCCAAATGGTGGAGCACGTGAACTGAACGCAGGAAGTAGTAGCAGTTCACATTGGAAATATACAAAACAGCATTCATTGGATTCAAATGCAATTCGAAACCAAAACAATTACTCAACTACATCAAACAACGACAATAACTCACCGATAAATTATTCGATTAAAATCGATGTAAATAAACCGACGTCCGTTAAACTACTGCGAATGGAATCAACACCGGCTACCATTGGGGCAAATAATAATTTAGCATCGCCGATCATTACGGCCAACTATTTACCAACAACAAAATCCACGAATTCGGACACAAAGCAACCAGTTATTACGTTCGATTTTTCGAAAATTCCATTATTGCCAAGCACATCGGCGACGGCGGCAGCAGTGTCCACCTCATCAAATCATAGTCATTCTGTAAGCAACATACTGAAATTAAACGAAAAGTCATCGTCGACTATCGATACGACCAAAAATGAGGTAATTTTAATTCAAATACAAATCACGCTCGATAGCAATTTTTTTTTTAATTTTTATTTTTTTTGCAGCTTCAATCTCAATTAGGCAAAATGGCACAGCGTTCAACCAGCAAAACACAATTAGTTAAACAATTGTCACATCCATATGCTTCGTCCACAATAACGTCGAATTCATCAACGTTACAAAGCAGTAGCGCACCTTCCACTCAATCCAGCTCAGCACATTCAACCACACCGAATTCATCATACATACCATTGTCAACCGTAGGAACATCCAGCACACTTGAAATGGATGAAGACTATGACAATATTTAAGTAAACCGCGCTATCGAATGATACCGAGAGAGAAAAGAAAATGAATTTAAATTATTTACTATTTTCAAATTGTTTTTCTCATTACAATCGACAAACAATATTTTTTTTTTTGTACAATTTCTTTTTTTGAAATCGCAAAACAAACAGAGTGAATATTTTTTTTTTATAAATATTGATTGGCAGTTTTATTTTTTAAAAAATTGCTTAAATAAATCGATTTGATTGAATTTTTACATTTTCATTTTTGCCACGAGAGATAATTTCACTCACAAAACATTCGAAATGTTTTCTTTTTGTTTGTTCATTTTCATACCATGATAAAGATAACACGAAATGGACCTCATTATCAATCATCAGTTAATTTAGCTATTAAGACTTTTTATTTATCTTCTGATCGAATAAAAGAATAATGATCATCATTTTATGTGTAAAAGAAGAAGCAAATGTGAAAAGTGTACAAAACCAATGAATGTTTGATAGTAGACATTAGTGATGTAAGACAAATATGAAACAGAATTTGAGCTAACGAATTTTCAGTTTACAAATGGAAAAGAATCATATCGGCTTGTATGGCACACAATTAGATAAATACATTTATGATTGAAAACAACAACAAACAAACATCAGTTGGTTCTTATTTGTGTTTTGTGTATGTGTTGGTGGCCCCATCTATACTTATACAATGCAGCGAGACAGCAAGACAGCAAAAAATATGAGTCAGAAGTTTTGTTTGTGACAAAATCTGACGTTTGTGTCCCACAGTGAATGATTTCGTAATTTTGATGGAAATTTAGAGAATAAACAAAAAAAAATAATAAACGAAATTATCTCGGCACAGTTACTACGTCATTGTTATACGTTATTATCGAAGGGATTAGTTAATGCGGCATACGTGTCCCACAAGAGAGCGATTTGTAAATAAAACGTCAGTTAAAAAACAAATTTACGATCACAGTACACATTGCAATCGTATTACAATAAAAGTCCGATCCGCATTTGAAAAACAACACAGTATTTTTCAGAAAATCATTCAAAGAGCATCATTTACGAAATATTGTGACAGCAACTTTAACCACTGAGTATTTTTGAAATAATTCAAAGAAAAGTCATTCCATTCGAAGCACGTGAAGAAAAAAGACACAACAATGGCATATAGTCGCGAAGAGTTTCACAAAATGGTGAGTATTTTGAAAGTTCCAATGAAAATCCAGTTGATATTAACGATTTGTGAACATTCCGATTCAGCCGAAATACACTGCATATGGCAACGGTGACATCCGAGCCCAATTGGCCGAATTCATTATGAACTTTGAATTTCCACGTGATGTGGTTTCGATTCTGATCGCTGCTTTAGTATTTTACATCACATTGAGACTGTTACGATTCTCAATTCAACTCTTCGCCTCACTGCTGCGTCCAATTGTTTTTGTTCTTCTCATTTTGGTGAGTCATTTTGTCCGATTTTTTTTTCTGTTTTTTTTTTTTTCGTTCTGTCACTAATCGGAAATCATATTTTGCCCATTTTTCAGATTGCATTGCCATACCTCTACGAAATGAAATCGGGCGTCGTATCAAATCAAACAGTTCGCAATGTCTATTCATCGACCGAAACATTTTTCGGTTATGTGTACAATACGTTGAATTCCATTTATACGCACACAATTCGTTTTTATGCCAAACAGTTTTAGTTTTATGTATTCATAAGATGAATCGTTCATATTATAAAAGACCATCCAATGTGTATTCCAAAGAATTTGTTGAAAGTCACAAAATTCTTCTTGCCCAAAACGTTACCAATAAATAAAATGTATGAAACAAAAACGCGGCTGTTTTTTTCATTCATATCAAACATGGATTCAAATTTCAGAATTTCATTCATCAATGTCAAATCAAACGAAACAACGATCACCAGATGTCGCAAAAAACGTTTAAATTTTAAAACGTTGATACTTTTGAAAATTGAAACTATTTTTTAACTGAAAAACGTTTGCTTTTCAAAACCAAAAAAATAATAATAATGAAGATCAAATCTGTGACCGGTCATAAACCGAAGTGTTATGTTTTGTGAGTGACAATAGTCAATAGAATTCAATTGAATATGGATCAATAAAACCATTGGCACGAAATGACGATTCAACGAACGGACGAATGTTGAATGTTATTGTTGTCGTCATAGTATGGTGTGCACTTGTACACAGTCTTGGTAATGTTTCGATGTGTACAATTCAGGTACACACCGGCTCATTGGTTGTCAGAGAATATTGTGCATGTAGAATGATCAACGGCATGTAGAATTGGTGTATAAGACATCAACTCATGCCAACACCAAAGAACGTCGATAAAAATGTATGTGTGTATTTCTATTCTTTTTTTGTTTCTCATTCAAATCAAATGCGTCTTCGTGCCTTTCCACAGAAGTTCATTCATTGTAGATCGGACACCTGCTGTGTGCCGTACAAGTGTATATGTGCATCGCACATTGTTTCTCATGGAATCGATGAATAGGCGAATATAAAAAACTTATACATTTAAGCATGTTCAAACACACGCATACACGATATATTCGTTAGCAATACAATAAGAAGAAGTTGAAGTAAACCTAAGCAATATCGAAAAAGTAACAACAAAAGCGACGAACGAACGAAAGAACGAGAAGAAGAAGAAGACGGAATAAGCAAAACACAACAAACAAAAGCTAAAATCCATTTCTGTATCGGAGTTTATGTGCACGCTGTTGTTGTTGTTGCTGCTATGCCGTGCCGTGTTCGTATTGTTGTAACAAAAAAAAGCTTCGATATAGGTAATAGCATTATATCTATATGTGCCTGTTACGCTTCAGTGCAACTGTGATCGTCGGACAACAATAATGTTTAAACAGAGTGCGAGCTGATTTGTTTGGTATTATTTGTAACCGTTTTGTGCTCGGTGCTCTGTTCTCTGGCTGAACACATTTTTCGTTGGCCAACCGTCGTGCAGTGTATGTGTTTTTTGTTTCTACTCTTATTTTTTTTCTGCTGTTCATCTCACTTTGAGAATTGCTCTCGATGAAATTCGCATTGAACAAGCAAAACTCCGAAAGAAAATCAACGAAAAGACACTGATGTGACCGACAAAATAGACGAAGAAAGAAAAAAAAACCGTCGTTATTGAAAAACCGATTTGTTGGCAATTTTTGAAGAACATTTAATTTTGAATAATTGGCGAGAAAAAATCGTTTTACTTAACTCAAAATAAGCATGTTAGTTGACAATAAACGAAACGAGAATCGATTTTGATAGCCCGCCGTGTGTGCCGATACCATGAAGTGAAGTTAAATGGTCCATTCAAGTGTTAAATAAAGATAATATTTTTCGGTTGGATATCGAACGTAAACGGAAAAAATTTATGATTATTACGTGGAATCGGAACAGGAAAGTGCAAAAGAACAAAAAAAAAAAAATACAAAACCACCAACCGACGTCAGGATAAAAACACTGGTGTTAATTTTTGTATGATAACTCGCGTGCGACATATACAGAAATTTCTGGTTATAAAAAGAAATATACAATTTTTTTTTCGTTGTTTTATTTGTCTGGATCGATACATTGTTTTGTGTTCTGGTTTCGCACAACTTGGTGCTGTTCATTTGAGTGTGTGTTTTTTTATTGTGCATTTGATTTGAAAACAGTGAAATTTTTGTTTTGTACTCGCACTTGATTTGAATTTTCTATGCTTTTCATCATGTCGTTTCGCTCTCAATTCTAGTTTGATTTTGTGAATTTCGTTAGCTGGTTTTTTTCTTCTCTGTTTCGGATGAAAGAAAGAAAACAAAAGAAGGAAAAAAAACTTAATTCGATTCGGATTTTACCATGCATTCTCTCTTTTGCTTACCAAGATCGATTCACAATGTTCTAATTAACTAGTGACGAGAACCAAAAACAAAGTAAGATTTTTCTCATTTCATTCAACAATATATATTCGATATTGGAATCGACAATTCAGTTGCAAAATGATGATGAAGAAAAAAACTTCGATTCGGAAACAAGAACAGCAAATCAATTATAATATATTTTATTAAAAAATTTCGTTTTGCAAATTACAATCCAAATGAATCTTGATTGAAAAAAGGTGTAAGTGTGTATTTGTTTTTTTTTACATTAGCAGTTATAATGTTTGTAATAACAAGCTGATATTGAGATCTTCGTATTTCGATACGATTGAATAAAAAAAAAATTATTGATTACAATCAAATGTTCAAAAAGGGAACAAGACAACAAAAAACATGGTGAATGAACGAACAACAAAATGAAATTACAATTTTGCCGAGAAAATGCATAGCGAAACATAATTAAATGTATATGGAAATTATTTGATGTTATGAAAATTAATTTATGGCAAAAGGTAGCATATATTAAGTACACGCGCTGTAGTGGTAAAACGGCTTGCAAAAAAAAACTGTGCAAAAATAGAAGAAGTAATGGTAAAACATTGGAAGTAATTTGTTTAAAACCGACGAATGTTTGCACGACGCTATGCGGTGCAATCGGCACGCGGTTTACTCTATGTGGTTTGAGTGCATTTAGATGTGTGTGTGTGTTGGATGGCGAGGCGTTAAAGCCCTGCACTCACTCGGACAACAAACTGACCAGTGTGTTCAAAAGGAATATAACGTGATTAAATCGTACATCATGGACTTGTATATTTTCATCGAACATGTTTACACCACCGATGCATAAAGAAAAACAACCACCTCCTGCCACTGTTGTTGTCGCTGCCTCCGTCGCCGCCAAACACAATACAACATTTGTAAACCCAGTTCATTCGATTCGCTTGACTTGTCTTGATACCGTGATATCGTCGACTCAAAGGCAAAAATTGGGATAGAACGGCATTCGGAACAAACGGCTTTACTGCTTAATCGCATTGAACTTTGACAATTTAGTGTTGCGTGTTTAATGTACATACCTTTAACCTATTTATAGATCATGGTATTTAATTTATAGTCTTCATTCCTTGTATGTCGGTTAAAGATTTTCCACACATACTTCCTTCGCGGCCGCGTTAATAAGGTGCTTACATAAAAAAACCCGACGAAAAACCAATGGAATAAAAAAGAACGTAATAATAATCATAAAAAATTGAAGAAAAATGTAAGAATAAAACTGAATTAAATATCCACCCGTAAATAAATGATTGATGGTATTAGACCGAAACATACAACATTTCATGTTATGTTTTTTTTTTCATTTGAAAAATTACTTTTACCTGCAAACGATTCGATCAAGAAATTGAAATGATAAATAGATCCGAAATCGAACCAAAAATACCATTTTTTGGCGTTAGCCGCTGCCGATTTCTCATCGTGTTGTTCTTGCTCCTTTTGTTTTCTTTCTCAAAAATAATTCTCGTGTGAAGATGAGCAAGGAACAGGGACTCTATTCAAACGAAAATAAAACCCAAGCACCGAAAAATTAATGCGAAGAGAGATAAAGAAAGAGAAAGAATAATAAGAAGCAAGAACTGCATGAGATACCAAAATCATTTGTAATTGCTGTGCACGCTACTACCTTCACTTAGTTAGAAGAAGTGGGCAACAGATAAAATATGATGTTACACGTGAGAACGAAAAAAAAAAATAGAATTCTAGCTGAAGGAATTCATTGCGCACACTATTTTTATTATTCTTAGTTAGTTTTATTTTTAATTTTTGTGAGAGAGTGAGTGTGTATTTTTTTCAATTTTTATTTCTCTTTATCTTTTGGTTTTTGTTTACGGTTGTGTTGCTCAGAGCATGTTATTAAAATATTTGTATGTTATTAAAGCAACAAGGGTCTTCTTCTTCTTCTCCTCCTGTTATTGTGTCCTGTTTGGTCATATTTTGTCTCGTTTTCTCTATCTCTTGTTGGGTTGTGGGTTTTTTCCCAAAAAAAGAGCATGTATTTATTATTGCTCATAATAAACCGAGAGTTGACAACAATAACAACATAAACGAAACAACAAGGAAACACAAAAAGAAACCGAAGAAGAATTCCCCTCCCGTCCATGACAACGGTGTTTGAATCGGCAATTCTTGACCGATGTCAAAATTGCATTTTTTGTGTTTGTCTGACTTCTTCTTCCATCATCTTGTTTTTGCATGTTCGCTACTGCAGTGCAATTTGCAGCGCTTCACTGCCACATTTGGTCGTGAGAAGACCATCCGTGTCATCGAAATATCAACGACGAAAAAAACAAATCCCGATCTCTGCAACAACAACAAAAAAAAAGAAGAAGAACGACAGAAAACAGTACGTTGTGTGTGAATACCTTGAAACAAGTTTTGTCTGCTGCTATTTTATCTGAGTCTTTGTTGTGCTCATATTAACGTTAACCAAATAAAGATGATTGCACATATCGTAAGACTCTCAGTTTTATTTAGCACACATTTATCGGAGTGCGCGAGCGCACCCGCGCGCAATTCAACAATACGATTTCAATTTCACACATAATTTTTGTTTATACATATATGTGTGTGTGTGTTGGTTCTTTTTTTCCGCTAGCAATCAGTGGCTGGCACCGGAACGTTTTATACGTGAGACAACCTGTGAGTTTGTGTGTGTGTGTGTGCCGTTGCAATAATAATGATTGTAATAATGAACAATGATAAAGAGAATGAAAAAAAAACCACTAAAATAGTCAGCTCGTGCACGCGTTTACGATATATATTTTTTTTCTTTTCTCCATTGCATTACCTTTACCAAAAGATACTCACACTCGCGAAGGAAAGAAAGAAAAAAAAAATCATATACACAGAACCTTATTTGCAACGAGCATAAATATCCCGTGCGCATATTTATACTTTCTGTGCCCTGAGCAAGACGTTGCATATATATCTTGAGAGAGTACTGTGCACAACACAGCGCCTGCTACACAATAACCAGTGTATGTATCAGACCAATTAATTAACTAAAACGGATAAAGTCAACACATTGCATTCCCCAATCACAAAAGTGCACACACGAAAAAAGTGAAGCACACAGTGAAAGAGAGATACAGTGCAATGGCGCACGCGTTTTTATTCACTACAATGCCACCGCCATCGCCGCCGTCGCCTTTGCCACACACAATGCACAACGTTGTTGTTATATATTTTGTCTTCTCCCGTGCCTATTCTTTTACTGCTGCGTCTAACTGACTTGTGTGCTCGCCGGCAGCACATTACTACACATTTCCGTGAGGCGAGAAAAAACAATCTACACACAACGTGCGCGGTTGCTGCGACTGTACCAACAATACGATAAACTCACACGTACCGAGCAAAACAATAAACAACAACACACAAAAATCAATTTGTTTTGGATTGAAATAGATTTTCCGAGACAGAGAGACAATCAAATGTAATTGCCTTATCTGTTGGTGTGTGTATGTGTCGGTATGCATTTGTGCGCACAATAAAGAGGTCCATGCTAAAAAAATAATACAAAATAACAGCAAATGACTGCAGAAATACCACCGTTTTCATTGATTACAATCTGAAATTAAGAAATAAAACATTGAAAGTTACGCTTGGATTTGTTTTATTTGTTTTACAGTTGATTTGAATATGATCGTTGTTTAACAAATTGCGGAGAGAAAAGTGAAAAAAAAAAAAAACAATTGGCAAACAAAAACGCAGTGTGTGTTTTTCAGTTTTGCACTTCAAAACATCCGGGCGAAAGGAAAAATTTTATGAATGTACTCTCTGACAATTCATCACACACATTGTTCATTTTGTTATGGTCGTTTCATCTCACTATCGATCGCAAAAGAATAAGATACTCTTTTCGGATGGTTTCCATCGAAATGCCTTTTTTAATTTCTGGCATTTTTTTTTCTTCATCATCATCTTCGTTTATGTGTGTGTTTTTTTCTTGAACCTTTATTTAATCACAATAAATTGATCGAAATCCCATGTCTTTTTTTTCTCACGTTGTTTATAGCGAACTAAGGAGTTTAGAGTTTGAAAAAAAGAAACAATTAATGACAAACGAGAAATATTTTTCGTTTCGTGTTGCTCGATGAATCGTTTGAAGAAAAACAAAAAATTGTACAATCATTATCGATAGAATTTGATTGTCAACAACGCATATACAACAACGCCGCACTATCGCGCGCGCGCTCAAGCCGAAAATAACGAATTACATACATACACACACGAGGTAATAATTACGATAAAGTAAAAATGAATAATCATACGAATGACACGAGTAGCCGACAATCATCAAATTCATCACATCATCATCGTCAACCGAATGGCATCCACCATCACAACAGCAATGGCAGCAGTCATAAAAGCAATTCGCTGAATCCAAGCATTTGGACAACAAACACATCGAAGTCTAGTTCAAAAAGTAATTTTACATCCGGCTCAAATGATTTTCATTTCATTCAAGCAAGTGATATCAACACAACAAAAAGCAGTGATGTACAAAATGGTTCGACAGCCAAATTATTACCATATGGCGATGACCAATCGAATAATCAGGTATGTGATTTTTGATGATAATATTTTTACACACAACAAAAAAAAATCCATCACACAGTGTCAATATGTCTATCTATTTGGTATGTGATTTTTATTCAACGACATTGTTCATCATTTCGATGGCTGTTATCATTTCGATAAATCGGTAATATTGTAGTTTAATACGACGATTCTGGGACGATAAATGAAATGACAACAAACGAAACCCGAAAAAAATAAGTCACACACAAAAAAAGAGTTACCAAATTTCCTCTTAAAAAATGTGTTGGCAACACAAAAACAGGTGACAGTTTCTTTTTTTCGCGGTTCGTTCATTCGTTTCCTCATTTGCTCTTTCTCATTGTGTGAGGACGTTTTGGTTTCTAATTCCTGTGTACACAACAACAAGAAAAAAAATTCGCTCAAAATGTAAATCACACTAACACTTGCGCGCCCGATAAACTGGAAAATAAACGAAAAACCACCATAAACGATAAAATTTGCGGCTATGTTTTACGAATTACGGGACTTAACTTCGATAACACAACAATATCGCACCGAACAGCACATCAGCAACAACACAACATTTGTACACCACTAAATTGCTGGAATATTCGTATTTGATTAGCATTTTATGAAGTAAAATTCAATGTGACACACAAAAATTCATAGAATAAACGAACGAAACGAAAAAAAAAATAACAAACATAACATAAGTAGCATGTGTGTTGGCCGATGCCATAAGGTTAATCGCTTGTCATTTAAAACGTTATTTTCTCGATGGTTTTCAACGTATGGAGCACGTTTTTAATTCAATTTACGGACAAGCTTTTTAAAGATGTAGCAAATTAAATGCGATTTTTTTTTGTTCGTCCGTTTCTTATTTACATGCCGCAATGAGGTAAATCCTAGGGGATAACCGTGAATTGCAGATCGAATAATTTATAATAATAAACGCTATTTCTCTCTAGTTTTCACTAATTCTGCTAGTATTTCTACTAGTTTGTTCTAATACTGCTATTTTTTGCTAATTTTTCTAGTACGTCAAAAATATCGCATTCGTCAGATTGACAGCATGATCGAATAACTGAAATGTGTTTACGTAAATGTTTCAAGTTGACACTTTCAACGTGTATATTTGAAGCAGGCACTAGCGTATACGTTTTCAGTAAGAAATCTGTCATCAAATCTACATTTCCGATTGCAATTCGTAAATTGTAGTTAATACAGATGAAACGTGCTTGGTTACGTGCCATTGAATATATTTTTATTTAAAAATGAGAAAAAGCGTATTTAACTACATATTTTGATACATTTTAGTTCAACACTATTCAATTCATTTGTTTTGTGAATTTTATTTTAATTAATTATTTCAATATATTCAAGAATAAATGCTTACTAAAGTATATACGTGTACAGTGCTAATTCTGGTATTTATTGCTAATTTTGCTATTTTCTTCATGTAAATTTCCCTATTTTTCTGCTAATGTGCTAATTCTAATTCGCATGGATATCCCCTAGGGTAAATCGTACGTACTGAATCCGTCGTGTTTCACGCAAAACGATGCCGATTTCAGAAAAAGAAGAAGCAGATATATATATAAACAGAAGAAGCAATTCAATGATTAAATATAATCGTGATCTTTGAAAAAAGAAAAAAAATTAGCAAAAATAAAAACACGGTAAAATGCAATAAACGTGCATTTTTCACCGATTCTCTCGGCTTCATCATTAAGACATTAAGAATCAATCTATCGAACAGAGAGCGTCTAACGGAACCGCACACTACTTTCCTCGACGAATTTTACGATGCGCGAAAGCCACAACAGAGCAAGATAGAGCGATAGAAAGAGCATAATAACAAAGAATCATTACAATCAATCAAAATTTTCAAATGATTTAATTGATTTTTTGGGCTTTCATTTTCGCTTTTCAAACAATTTATTTCGTGTTTGCTCTCTTTCTTTTTCATTCTGTGCCCGTCGCTCTTTCTCTTTGTGCCCCTTTTGCGTTGAGCTTCTTATGATGGATGCAGTCATAACATTCGGCTCGCCGACATGTTTAAAGACGGGAAAAAAACATCTCGTATTTTACATGAGTGAAACCATCACATCGACTGAAAAGTTGCGCATAAAAAAAGAGTCCGAATCGATTTCGACTTTGAAAATGGAAAACAACTCATGAAATTCCAATTGTTTTTGTTAATTATTCGAATGATTTTATTTTTATTGGCTGGATTTTTTTTTCTCACTCTTTTTTAACTCTCTTCAGTTTTGTTCAGATCATCGTTTTGCTTGAATTGATATGTCTCTTTACGGAGAGATGCACATCACACACACACACTTGTGTGTACAGCACCGACACCGCACACACACACAATTGATTACGACGAATTTATGTGCTCACCAAATGCAACCAAAGCCATGGATTGCGAATTAAAATTGTTGGAAAATTGCAATTGTCGATGGCATATACACACAGTTAAAGTGTGTGCGAACGCGTGAGCAAATGCTTAAACGCGTTTACATTTTGTACCGTTTGAGATTCGAGAACATGAAATATGGAGTGTGTTGTTAGTTTTGTTATAATTTTGTTGTTGTTCGTAGCTTTCTTGGTATTTGCTTGGTGTTGGCGTTATGATTTGTCTGCATAGCATAAATATGTCTAATTAATGCAATCGTACTACGTGCGAGCAAGCACCATATCGTGTATGTGCATTCTTAGGCAAATCCGTTGCGATTACATGCATACCCACACACACACACACACTTGAATATACAATAATTTTTATGAGTGCGCGGCCGATGTGATCACCCGATCCTTTTGTTGATGCCACACATCTAATTTAAACGAATTCTCTCTGTCTCTGCATTGATTAGTTCAATGTTGTTTGCTGTCATCGTCGTCGCATGAACACACCACAAACATAAAATTGTCTTGTGCAAATTGTTTTGTGAAAATATACCCGTTTGCTTTTTTTCGGTTGCGCAAAACTAATAATGCATGGTGCAGCACATTTTCCTGACAAAACAAAACTTTTTCCAGGCAAAACAGCTGCATTCACCAGCATATATAATATATATTTATGAAAGTCATACGCATTTATTTGCTTTGCAAAATAACAATGAGCGTGAAGAAGATAGACGGCCAATGCTTTTATGTTATGGTTTGCTGCAGTTGGTTGATCATGTTATTTGCTTGTATTAATAATAATATTGTATCGTTTCTTTTTAATCTCGCAGTTTTTCTCTCTCTCTCTCTCTCTCTCTCTCTCACACACCCTTTCTCTCTCCGATTCGTTTAATTTGTGTATTAGTGTTTTTTTTTTCTCTTTTTCTTTTAAGTCTGTTGGATTCTATATGGTTCCAAAGTTTGATGAGCTTACCATATTTTACTTTTCTTTCACCAAATTCAGTGTTTGAGCGTTTCTTTTTGGCGCTGCCAACAATATCGCGCGCCGCACACAATAAATCATATTCATTTTAATACATATTGCATTTGCAAAATGTAGTGCGTCGGGCACGTTTCAACATCGGCTACTTTTTTTTTATTTCGTTCACCCCAAAAAAAATATACATTATATTATTATTTTGATGGCGATGAGACCGTTAGTGGCCTTTGTTCGATGTGCGTGCTGTTAAAATAGAATATTACGCACGTAGTATTTTTTTAAAATTTGTAACCTCTTGCGAGAGCCACAACAACTGAAAAGAAGTCGTGCCGTTTAAATATCAAGAAAAATCCAGTGCAATGAGTTGCTTTCGAACTCGATTGCAACAAAGTGATAAAAACATTTTTATTTTGTTTCGTTTTGTTTTTGTTTTAGAATGATTTTGTGTAGAAAAGTTGTAGTGCCAAGTGTTGTTTACATTTGTTTTTCCAGTGAAAAGCTAATGGAGTGATCAAATGACACACGGCAAACGATCAAAACAGAAGAAAGAATGACAAAACAAAGAAGAAATAACAACAACAATAACACGAACAAATGTACGAATTTTGATAAGTGTCGTTATTGCGTAAAGGTCGTGTTTTAAAGAAAAAAAATGCGGCTCACGATGAAAATCAGAATGCAAATCAAACTAGAACGAAAGAGTGAGAAAATATAAATGTTATGTGCAAGCGTGAAGAATTGTGCTAATTTGATAGGTATCATCATGATCGTAATCCAGTGAATGTTTATTGTTTTTATTCGTTAAAGAAGAAGAAGAAGCAAAAAAATATGTTATGAATATGATGAATATTTTATGGTTTTTTTTATTTAGATTTTTTGATAGTTGGTTTTGTTTGTATCCGTGTTTTGTGTAATATGCGAATATTGTCTAATGAACTAGAATAAAAGGAAGCAAAATGTTTACGCTTGATTCGGAGCGTTTAACCTCGGAAATCAATGTAAAACATACACAACAACAGGTCAAAGCAAGCAAGCAAATGCAAATAGATACTGTACAGTGGGGCATGTGTTATCGCATTTGGCATGCATAAAATCCAACCATGCCATGTGAAATTCACATAAGCAATAGCACCAGCAACAACAAAATACATAGTACGTACGCAATTCTATTTAACCTCCGGTGCGACATAACAGTTCATATTGTATTCACTCTTCGGTAGTTTTTTTTTTATTTTCAACTTGTTTCACGTTCATTTCCATTTGGAATTACAATTTTTTTCCAGTTTGCTCATCTTTTGCTGTGTATTTATGCGTAATGATCGGAAATCATGGATGTGTGTGTGTATGATATCAAAGCAACAATAAACAATTGAAATTTTACGCCTTTTGTCGAACATAGAACGGAAAATGTATGCATGCAATGCCTTATTTGGATGTGCAAAAGAAAGGGCCGATCCCATTATCAATCAATGTTCAATTAGTCAAAGCTGATTTTGTTTTTGTTCGTCACATTTTGTTTTGTTGTCTGTATTTCTGTTGATATTGTAGTAAAATCATGTTAAATTTCAATAGAATGAAAACGACATTAGCACATGTGCGAAGGTTGATAGCCTTACATAATGAGCTGTGTATAAGTGTATAAATGGCGTCAATGTAAAACGATTAACAGTGATGACAATGTCGATGATCGTCAACAATTGTAACGCTAATTTCAGCTTAAATACAATACAGTGTCGCTTCTAATTGACGAAGAATTCGGTGAAATGACGAAGAAAATATCATTTGTAATGACGACAAAATCGCATCATTACCAAAAAATATTTTGCCCATATTGCAACACACATTTTGAACATATTTCATCGAACCAATCACATATTGTTAGCCGATTTGATTAATCGATTGGCTTGAATTGCATTGAACCATGCGGTAATGAATATATATTCGATTTGAAAAAAACATTTCTTAAGAAGGTGACGAATGAGAAAGAAAACAAAGAAAAAACAAATGTGATTTATGCCGCACTTAGAAAGGGCAACAGAAAATGAACAACAATCAAAATTGAGAGAAAGAAAAATACGAGAATCAAATTGAATAAATTGTTCGTTGTATTCATCGTGATCGTAGCTGTTTTTGTTGCTTCTTTTATGAATCATACAATTAACGAAGAGTCGCTGATATTCACTGGCATTTCCAATGGGACAGTTTTTGAATTTATTGCAATTCAGCATAATTTAACCATTGTTTTGCCAGTTTGAATTTTCAGGCTTCGGTTTATAAAACAAATCAAGTCATACTGCATTCGAAATGAACGTTTATTGTTTAGGCGCGTAGTGCTTTTTTTTCTTTTTTTTTTCTCTATTCTTTGTTCGTCGTTAGATTTCTTTCTCTTTTCATCTTCTTCAGTTTCAAATGCATATTGTATTCGAACGAATATGAATAACAACAAATCGTGAGATGTGTACTTGAAAAACTACAGCTACATGATAATATATATACGAATAAAAATCATTATGCAATCAGTTGTAATAGAATTAGCAAGATTTCCTTGTGACCATGAGATCACATACTTGTACGATTATGATCATCGCACGCTTCATTTTTTAATTATTTTTCGCGGGAATGTTTGTTGAATCAGCAAAGGCGGCAAATACCGATACACACAGAGAGAGAGACATCGATTTTACGCCTTGAAACTAATCAGGCAGCGATGACAACGACCAAATTAAAATCACTATCAATTAACATCATTTCGTTTTCAAAATAATGGAAATCGGCGTATTTGAACAAATAAATATGTTATTGGTGTCCTTTTGGTTTTTTTTTTATTATCATGCCATAAAGCGTTTGCAATGAATGTTTGCTCATCGATTTAATTTCTTGTTTTGTTTCGTCACACACACATAGCAAATTGCACGAGCAAAAGTATATTTAGCCCCGGGTCTGTGAACTGAAACAGAAGAGAAATAAAAAAAAAAACTTACGAAAAATCATTTAAAATGCAACAGACAGCAACCGATTCGAATCGAGGTGATTGAAACACATACACAAACACACCGATAGCGCATACATCAAGTATGCACATCAATATGTATAACAAGTGAATGTGGACGGCATTGAACAATGTCAATATCTAGCCAAAAAAAAACCTACAGAAGAAATGTGCTTCGATAAACCGAATATACCGATTACCGAATATCATTGTCAATATATCATTCATTGTCATATGAGCAAAGAGCAAACAAAAACAAACAAACAAACAAACAATAGCGAACCATCGTCGATCTTAAAAGCACATCAAAGAAAATAAATTCAAACTTACGAACGAAACACAACGAAGCGTCTGCACCAGCAGACAACAGTCAGCAACAATAAGAAAAAAAAATAGCTACCATAATCATAAAATAGCACTATGGATTTATCAACAGCCAAATATATAATGGATTATATATATTTTAATCGTGCTAACGAAACGGCATTCAAATACTACAAAAAAGTAAGTTTTTCCATTCGCAACTGGCGATGTTCAGGTGGTGTTCTGCATATCTGTCTGTGGTTGTTGATGTAGAGTTTTTTTTTTTTGCAAAGCAACACAATATCACGTCGCATACTCGATCTATGAATAAGCGTACACTTGAAAATTATTATTGAATGATGAACAGTTTTTCACGTTGATATCATGGCACGAACCTTTTTTTCTCTCTCTTCATTATTCACCTCCTTCGTCTTCATGTATTTTTTTTTTCTATTTCAATTCTTACTATATTACTCACGATACATCAAAATTTAAATAATTATGAGAGGTAACCGTTTATATCCGCCACATTGTACTTACCTTAAAATCGGGAAGTACAATTCAAACAAGCGGTAAATAGATTCAAGTCATTCAAGACGGAATATTGAAGCACACTTATTATTATATCGCAACGGCGAACGAATTTACGGCGAGAATATGTGCAACAGTAATGATTCAATGGGCTCACCTATCAAATTCATATTCAAATATGAATATTTAACAGTTTTTATGTTGGTATCTAATCAAAACAAACAATTGCGATCGGGAGAAAGAGAGAATGAGAGGCAGGGCAGCCGAGCAGATGATAAAACTAAATAGAGAGCGAGAATAAAATAGAATTCAGTTCATTCAACAAACGAAAAATACAGTAATCATCGGAAAGAGATGCACCTATTATAGTTAATTGTTAGTTTTGAGATTTGAGAGATCTTTCTCTCGTGGCTCAGAATGAATTCCTGTTTACAGACGAAAAACAACAACAATATTCGAAAAAATCACCGTGCACGAAATCGGAACGAGGCAGCCAACAAACAAACACACACACACACACACTCAAAAATAAAAATAAAGATAAGGAAAATTGACTATGCCGACCGAATTCCTATGTCTCTACGATATATTCTTATGCGATTATTTGAATAATCATTAAACTGAAAATACTTAATTTTTCGTTTCGTTTGTTGTTTTTTCCATGTGAGTTCGTCTAGTGTTTATGTTGTAATCTCACTGCTACCCATGTTCGCATTATTCATTGTGATTATTGGCATTGATTGTTATAACAAAGGCAAACACTACTTATCTGGGCTAGTAGAGAGATATTCGTGTTCACATATTTCAGTCTTTTTTTTCTGTATAAAAATCGTTATTTGCATGAAGCAGAAGAAGAAAATAATATGTATTTCAACTGTCAATCAGATGAAATGATTATTTTCTACCGATGAGGAAAGATGCCAAAATCTATACCATTCCAATTGGTTGAAAATTATAACGAAAATTAGCTAAATTAAACCACAAATAAGAAAAATAAAATATATGCCACGATCAGGCTCTTTCCACACATACCATATAGATAACTATGATATACACTAATTCTTCATATAAAATAATTTTTTATTTCACAATTTTTCAGTTTGTTTCATTCCATTGCGTTTCTACCATTTTATATCTGTTGTTTTTTGTTTTAATTTCACAGTCAAAATGTTCGATATTTCGTGATGTGATGTTATGCTTGTGTTTAAATCTAACATATTCGAATGTTGTACGTTTTCCCCGAGAACTAGATCGGCATGGTGTCGCATTTTTGCTACCATATTTATTGCTATTTCTTTTGGTTGGTATACCAATTATACTGTTGGAAATAGCATTAGGTCAATTCTTGGGTCAAGGTTCAGCTCATTCATGGCGTGCATCACCAATTTTTCGCGGTAAGTTAATTATAATACACAAATATATAAAAAAAAAAATTGCATTTGGATATCTCGTTTGTGAAACACAGACACATTAAGCACAAAAATTCACGTTTTCGAAAATGTTGCCAAAGTCAGCAAATAGCGTGTGCACATACATGGGTGAGATCACGAAAGGCGCGTTAGCTCAACTATACTTTAGTTCATTAAACTTAATTAATATATGTTTGTCTAAAGTTGTCAAGTATGTGTAATACATATATTTGCTCACTCATATATGATGATGATGACGACGACCACGACAACAATTTGTCATCTTGTTCTTATTCATCGCAGCAATATTTTCAATAATAATAATTCAAAAATCTCTTGACAACCATTATCAAATATACATACAGCTTTTTCGTTAAAATTCTCTGTTTGCCCCGTGGACTTTGTGTGTTTTTTTTTAGTTTCGTTGCTATGTGCGTAATGCACGTACTAAACAACTATAATCATATATTTGTCGGTCAACATTTGTGTTGTGATTCGCTCAAAGACAGATTTAATTGTTTGCAATAAATTCTACAAATTCGAATACCAAGTTGTTTCTCGATTTCGAAAGACCTTTTTTGTGCTGCTTTACATTGGAACGTCAATGGAACTAACCCAAATATGTAAACTTTTAATCGGTTTCTTAAACTAGGTGCAAGCATTGTGGGCCGTTTTGGATCATGGATTGGAACAATATCGATATCGTTACAAGGTGCTTTGGGGATGGTGTACATTGGAGAGATTTTATTGAAATCTGTGCCATATAGTCAATGTGTAGTATGTATTCCCTGTTTTTTTTTTACACATCTTATTTGAAAAAATAAACATTATTATTATTGTTATTATTCGATAAATATTGTGAAAAAAAAAATACAAAATAAATTCTTTTCATTCCATTCCAAACAGAACACCTATGATCATACGCCATTAAAAGGACAGGCATGCATGAAGTAAGTGATTATATATACGATATTATTCAATATCCACAGTCAATAATAAATTTACAATTGCTAGAATTGCCACTTTGCATGATTCGTGTGTATTTGCCAATAATTACATTTTTGCATTGAAATGTTTTTGCTATTTATATCTCGTTCTATGTGCTTCTCTTTCTCACCTACTCGACATCGTTCGAAGTTGATTAACTTTTATTTTATGTAAATATCGCTGATTTCTTACTGCGATTTATCTCCTTAATTTTTACGTAATATTCCAACCAAAGACGGAATCAGGCATTTCAAAGCAAATGAGTCGCTCCCTTTTGAGAAAGAGAGAGGACGAGTTAGTGATGAAATGAGGACTGCAAAAAATGCAAAAATGGAATGTGAAAAATGCTTGAAAAAAAAAATAGCAAACAATGTATCATTTTTTGTTCGTCGTTCAATCGAGATAAATATAACAATTTATTTGGAATAATATGACTGATTTGATGTGTGAAGCTAGATGTGAGGCTTTGTCAAAGCATTCCATTTTTTTTTCTCGTCAAATTGCTGTTGGCCAATTGTTTGCGTTCAATATCGTAGTTTACGTGCTACAAAAAGACGGAATAGTATGAGAATATTTACAGCAAATAAAGGTGGTAGCAAGTGAAGTGAACAAAATTGAATTGAATTGATACGAATCGAATTTATTAGCATGTTCATGCAATATTGTTTAATATCATATTGCTTGTCTCACAATGCGATTCGTTTTGAATATGGTTGTCGTAGTCAAGTGTTGTTATTCATTTATTAATTAATTGTTTGATAGCAGTGTAATTTCGGGTTGTGTCATAAAAATAGCTCTGTTTTATTTAGTGCGTTCAGTATGTTCTTTTTTTTATTAATCTAATTTAACACACGAATAAACATGTCAACATGTCGTTTATTCAAATAAAAACATATGTTTTATGATTTCGGTTGCAAATTACTGTTACCACCAGATTATAATGAACCCAATTTGTAGATAATTGAACTCAATATAATTTGATTGTTTTATTTTTAAAATCAATTTATTATAGGGAAACGTTTCTGACACCAGTTTGGGAGAATACACTGTACTTTGCGTTGATCTCGATGAGTCTTATCGTTGTATGGACACTTGCTGCAGCATGGTAATTGATCTATTTTAAAACATTTCATTTAGTTTATATTTTTCTTCTTCTTTTTTATTCATTCAACATGCAATGTTTATGCCGTGAAACTTGACACGTTTCCGAATGTTAATATATCCTGTTCTCATATGTGTTTCTGTTTATTTCTTTGCATGTACAATGTCATACGTACGATGACACAGTACGTATAGCGCCAAAACGCTACGTCGATCGATAATTATTGTTGGGCTGGTGAGCTTGGGGTTATTAATTTTTGAAACCGGCTGGGAAGCCACAAAAGCGGTGAACAGTGAAAAAGACCTACCAATTCCGATAACATCGATAACCATCGAACATATATTGCCAATAAACAGTGACATATGGTATGATGCACTTGTCCAAGTATTACTATCATCCAATATTGCGATTGGTGTGTTGCCGATCGTCACTGGGAAATTCATATATAAAGGAGATGCCGTCAGGTATTTAAATGTCATATATACTTTGTCATAATTCATTCACACACTCTCTCGTTCGTACGCAATTAACCTTTTAACCATATTTTTTTTTTTTTCTTCGATTTTATGCAGGACGTCATTGGTATACATAAGCTTCAATGTACTGGTGCTAATACTATCGACAACATATTTTCTGATTCAATTCAACAACACAAATACATTGAATTCTACATTGATTGTGCCCGAACTGAAGACGTTTACATCCGTCTATGATAATGCACTTGAGTATGTTAAAGATGAAGAGACACCGATGTTGACGGGAATTGCGTATACAATGATCGTATTGATATCAATTATAACGATTGCATTGCAAATTTACACAGCTGCAAGACTAATACGACGGCATCCGTGCTATGTTATGTGTGCGACCGGATTGATTGTTGCTATAACTGGATTATTGTGTCCGGATTATATAGTAATGCGATTGTTTGACATGCGTATCGTTGGTGCATTCATTTTGTGTGCGCTAATCTTTGACCTTATTTCGATAACATGGATTTATGGTGCTAAAAATATATACACCGATATTGAATTCTCGGTGGGACGTCCCATTTCAAAGGTGTGGGTATTTCTTTGGTGCATAACACCAATTTTACTGGTATCCATGTTAATTTGGTGGGCAATTGATTACAATCCTAATGATTTATTGATCGATTTTGTACCAAAATGGTTACCGATTGCAATTGCATTGGGTATTATTGCGTTTTTAGCCTTCACCGAGGTGTACAAACAAGTCGATTACAATTGCTGCAGTATGATTCGTGAGGCTGGCATTTCGTCAAAAGATTGGGGACCAGCCGATCCAATTGTACGGCATGCATGGAAACAATGGACAGCCGTATGTGAAGATACCGGTGAAAAAGATTTCACATTACGACGACGTGGTACACGCGATTATACGCATTCAATAAAACGCAATCAATGCTCACACAAACCAATTAATTCGGCATATTCGGTGGGTAGTGTTGGCAACACAAACACCAATTATATGATGAAAACATCAACACTTGGCCGAAATTCACCGAATTATACCGGCTCAATATTTGGCGATTCGGCCATTGAAGAAGACATTAGTATTGGCAATTATCCGGTACAATATAATACCGGTACACAACGAATGATTGTGCCAAGCATTCAAGATGAACGCATTAAGTCATCGTCGACATTGAATCGAAGCGCAAACAATGATCCACGCAAAATGATTATACGATTGCAACAAAATTCGGTGCAAGAAAAGCAAAAAATCTATGTCCCAGGCATACAACATACATCACAGCCATCGACAATGGAACGTGATAAAAGTCGAATTGCGGCCAAAATAAATGGCACCATACCAGACTATAGCAGTCGAATTATTATAAATGCACCAACTCAACGCCATTCAATCATCAGTCCAAATTCATTAACAACATCACACGACACCGATAATAACAATTACAGCAGCCTTCGACGAGCAGAGAATGCAAATCACTTACCACCATCATATCTGAATAATCATGGACCTGAACATATTTGCTGGCGCAAATATACAAATAATACCGAAGAATTTTCCACGGAATTATAGTGTATAGTTAAAAAGAGAAAATTTATATTAGATTTAATAGAAATTGAGAGAGAAAGAAAAAAGAAATAAACAATTCAGAAAAGAATGAAATTTAGTTAAGAAAAAATTTCGATTATTATTACAAATTTACAACATATGTAAAAATAGATTGCGATAATAAAAGTTGAAGAAGAATACCAAAAACCAAGCTCAAATATAAGACATACACACAGATAAGGTGGTATTGATTTAATAAGCGATATATTATTATAAATAGAATAAGGAAGATTTACTTGTAGAAAAAAAAATCAAGAAACAAGCGTCAACATCTTAACACCACATCGGTGAGATTGGATATTGAGATTGCGGAGAACGACACATAAAGCGCAGATGAGCAAAGGAAAATAATAATAACGGAGAGTACTGATAAGATGTAACTAGGAAAAAAAACTAATTGAAAAACCTCTAGAATTTCTTTGTTTGTTTCTTTCTTCAACCGAGATAATTCTGTTTAATTTGAATATTTCTAGTCTATTTCAATACAAAACTAAAGTTATATGATTTTTTTCTCACATTCTGTCTCTGTTTTTTTAAACAATTAAATATCACAATTATATTGTATTGGTTGTATTGATTATTATTTAAGTACTTGTTGTTTTTCTGTAATCTTTAGATTCCTTCGATCGAATGCAAAAAAGAATTGAATAAATAATAAAAAAATTGATATGCAAAAAAATCAAAAAGAAAAAATCCAAGTTTCTAGTTCTTCTTTTTCTTTTTTTTTGTCTCTCTTTTCTTTCTGTTTGAAGTGCACCGGTCATGGATCCGTATACAAAATTTGGAAATGGATCAATTTTCAGCGAGCGTAGGCTTTCTTCATTTATTTTTGGAATTGACGTGCGAGCATCGTCCACTGTCATCTTATCGGCGTATAGTCTTGATTTTTAATTGTCCACGAAACCACTCGATTACATATAATATCTGTTGCATAAACATTGGCACAAAATGAGACAATCATAATATTTTTAATCTTTGTCATTGAGATTGGAAGAGCCCAAGAAACAGTTGGACAAATTCTACCAGGTAAAAAGAACCGTTTTTTTCAAATGTGTGAGATATAATGATGAACATTTTTTTCTATTTCACTCTACCCAGCAAACAATTGATAGGGCAAATGCATCCATTATGAAGCACATATTGACGGTCGTTTTCGGGGTTAGATTCGTGTGTAGTTTCAGTCATTTCCATAGGTTTGGCATGGTGGAACATTCAGGTGTGAAAACATGGAAAAAGGGAAAGACAACCATTAGTATCAGTTGAACTGGGTATAAAATACTTTTTTTAAATTAAAAACTTTACTCACCTACGGGCACTCCCCCTCCGTACAATGTTGTACTATTGTACAACTAGACCACAAGACTTTATATAGTCTGTTCATGTCTAGCTAAGCTAACTATAATAGTTAAAATATTTTATTTTATGTAATTTTTTGAATGTATGATTAATTGATGATGTTTGTTAGTTGACATTGTTGTTTTAGTCCGGCGGTCTTAACAATGAAACTGGCAATGGTACATCAAAGATCCGGCAAAGTCCTATGTAATTTGAAGCAAATTCATTAAATAATGAATATTCTGTTTCCAATTGATTCATACCTTTGAGCATAATGCATTTTGCTGCAACAATATCTCGGTGCCAAGTAACTGTTTGTGGAACAACATCATCATCATCATCATTTAATGGCCAATTTTTGTAGGTAACTTTAACCTTTGACATTAAACGCCCAGTCCGAATTTTTTCGTTCACAGCCTCACGATTGCCATCGATAATTTGTCGCTTAATAATTGCACGTTTTCTTCTCAAAACACGTCTGTTGACCGTTGATACAATGATATCTGGCAGTCCAGCGACTGAATCTGGCAGGCCATCAATCTTTTTCGCTCTACAATCGTAGCACACTTTAAATCGATCATCTTTTGTGTGCCTTGGAAAACGTTCCTGACAATTCGCGCATGTTTGTGATGTTCCCCATTCATCTTGCATTTCAACTTCTGAATGTCCAAGTTTCTTAATGCTCACACGAAACTTACGCGATCCCGGACATCTTTTAAGCTTTTTTATTCCAAACGGTCGATCGGGTTTCATCGCCCAAGCACCAAATTGAACCAACGACGGTTTGTTGTTTGTCACACGCACGGCGATTTGATCATTTACTCTGGTCGAGCGAATGTTATGGTCTAAATCCAGTCGTGCATATTCACGCGTCGCATAAGCTGCCATTCCTTTTCTTAACATTTTAATGCGATATTCAATGTATGATTTCCATGTTGAATTACGTGGTGATGGTGGACGATATGGGTATGTTTTGAGATGTTTCTTCTCTTCGATATCAAACCATCCAGCCAACTTTTTCGCTTCTTTGTCTCGTTTTTTCTGCTGAGTTTCCCAATGAAAACGCTGGTTTGGTATTATAATGTTTTCCTTCAAAATGCAAAATGATACAAAAAACTATGAGTTTCTATTCAAAACCATTTCAAATTACATTTCAAAATATCTTACCTCAACAGCCGGCTCATCAGGTGTTTTTTGAATGTTGCGACGCACTACAGTTAACCACGATTTTTCATTCGGATCGATTCCAATGATGTATTTCTTGCCAATGAGTTTTTCCGGCCCCCGATTCGCTTGGGTTGTTTGCTGTGGTCGTTGTTGTCGCTGTGGTTTCTTGTACATTATGGATATTGAAACACTATCGGTCAAAATCTGATGATGGAATGGTTTCGATTTGCCCAATTTATTTATTTTACCGACATCGAACAACATATTCCATAGACCTGATCGATCAGTTTGGGTGTAGTACTCTACTTTTCTCTTATTCATCCGGTTGGTCCGCGTATTGAGAAAAGAAGGCACCAAATCAAGCTTGTTTACAATTTTATTATACAGGTCCGTAATGTCCAATCGCACGTTTTTCAAATGGTAGTCGCATAATGGTATAAGAGCAAAACTGCTTATTTTTGGTGGTCGATTGATTGTTGGCTCTTGAAAGTTCGGATTGTTACGAAACATTTCATGAATGGTATTCCATTGTTCGGCATGACTGTGATACACTTCTATTTGCCGTTGCATTTGACCGAACAACCACAGTGATTCAAACCAACGATATTTTGCGAAAAATTTCATACTCACTGTTCCCGACCATCCAATTTCAGTCAAATCTCTCATTAAAATATTGAATTTTTCAACGCGTTGTGGATCCACATTATTACCATTATTACCATTTAAATTCTTAAATCGATATGAAAACTCTTTGGCATTTCTGATGTCGATGCTATCAAATCTTGAGCCATTGTTGAATCGATTGCGATACCAACAACGCATTCGAAAAAAATTCTCAAGTCGTTTTTCACACCATGTGTTGGTATTGGTTTGAATGTTTGTGATATATTGTTTATAAAAATATCTCAAACCATTTCCCAACTTTTCATCACCTGGCCATCGGAACTGTTCTTCACTGTTTCTTTCTACCATGAAACGAAACTCGGGCAATATCCGATATTGACTATTAATATTGTTAACGTGTTGGTTTAATACCGCTCTGAAACAATCGGCAATGAACAGGCTTGGATGTGGTTGCAAAAAAAATGCACGATCGTCATTATCAAGTGCTTCATTCAAAATAAAAAGAATAAAAAGTGATGCCAATGCTGCCACTTCTGTCATTTGAACACTGCGCTCGAATAGCATTTTGGTCACAGCTTCTCCAACTCTTTCAATCCGTTCATGTTGTTGTCGCAGGATTGTTTGAAGTCCACATTTTATTACAACGTATTTGCTTTCTTCTGGTTGATTATCATCGAGCTCGTCGTCATCCATGTCTTTTTCTGTTCATTCTCAAAAAACTGAATAAATTATTCGAAAATAAAAAATAGACACAAATTTAGAAAAAAAATGCAACAAAAATAGCATAGATTACGAATAAAATGAGATCACAATTTAAATGACAATCACTTATATCACAATTCAAATGAATCACTTCTTACCTCAACGATGTCACTCTGTATTCTGATTCAAATGATGAAATGTTGTCCAATATTCCACAGATGAAAATTTTGTTGGAATATTCACCGTCAATTTTATGAATGCTTTCTTATTTTGAAATAACAACAGAGACAATCTCAAAACCAACAGTGAATTTATCCGTTTAACATCGAACAAACAAAATCATTGGAACAAATGTTAGCCAAAAATGACGACAAACAAATTGTTTCATACTCTAATATAAACACTCACACATAATTCTCAAGAATTCCTTTTACAAGCAAAGCACAATTTGTTACAAACAAAAAATGAGAACACACTCATATCACAATTCAAATGAATAACTTCTTATACTATATAACGCTGTGTCCTGATTAAAACGATGAAAATGTTTTTTTTTATTTTGAAATGAAAACAAAGACTGTCACAAAACGGACTGTGAATCTTTCCATTTGACATCGAGTGACTTCTACAGTTACGTTCCAAACACACCAAACCGTTGCTAAAATGACGATAAACAAAAAATGAATCTCATGTACAAGAATTCCATTTATTAATCACTGAATTTTGTTTTTTTTTTTTCAACACAATGGCAACTTAACCATAATTACTTACCTTATTCTTAACAATAACTTCAAAATATTTTGATGCGAAAAAATCCCTATTTAGTTCGGTGCCGGAATTATAATTTCATACATTGTTCAAAGAAATTAATTGATACGATGCAATGTTTACGAAGCACATTTTGAATGTAATCAGAAAAATCGGCTTCGATATGATACACACCAATACACACAGCTACCAACTGTCAAATGTCGTACACATTCAAACATGTTTCGAATTCGAAATTCGAATTTGAATTATGAAATAAAAAAAATAAAAAAATGTTTCTGAAACTAAAATCAAATCAAACAAATCTAAAAAAAGGTACATTTATAAATGTATTTCACAGTCACTTGAAATTCCTACGCAATGTTTTTTTTTATTCATGCACAATCGAAACACACACAGAGAGAAGAGAGTAAGATTTGTATTTTCATCCTCTTTTTTTTCGGTTTGTTTTTCAAATTTCATTTCAATCGTATGAATACGATATTATGAACTCAACGAGTTTATGTTATTTACATTTGTTTACATTGTATTGCCGCTACAGTTTCTTAGAATATAATAACAAAAAGAGAAACAATCGAAACACACAGAAGATGTTGTTGTGTATCGCAACACGAAAAAGCCGAAAAAGTGGTTCACATTATGCCTATATTCTACCTTCCATTTGACACGAAAATTGCCACAAAAATGGGTTAAAGCGTTACATTTTTTAACGTTAAAATGTCCTAAAAACGTTACATATTTGTCCGTTGGGTAGGAACTCGCCATTGCGGCAAAAATACGGATCCCATTATTCCCACCCAATTGGGATATTTCAATAATCTTGATATGTGCTGCAGGAATCATGATTTATGTCCTTTTTCAATAGCATCGGGCACGTATCTCGACATGCAAATCGATAGAAATAATATAGTTAGAAAATACTGGAACAAAGGATTTTTTACAATAAGTTTGCGCAATTGTGATGAAGCATTTATGAACTGCTTGACAGGTATAGGATTTGCTGGGCGTTTATTATACAATTTTTACCGCGAAATAATGTTGGCGGAATGTATAATTCATGAAAGCCAATTTAAATTAAGGAAAGGTGTGATGCCAATTCTACGTCCCATAGAAGAAGAGAGAAGAAGTAAGGATGTCTTTATCGAAGAGGATTTATTATCATAACAGATTTTTCAATTAAATGTTTTAACAATTCACCTTAATAATTTCACAAATTAGTTATATCTCTAATGTTTCTCGCGAATAAAATCGAATTTATTTGGTCAAAACATGTATTTTAAATAATATAAAACAAAGAAATGAGTACCTTGAATGCATTTCGGAATGTTGTCATTCCATCTTCAGCATCACGACTAAATTGAAACAGTGAGTTACGGTGATATCGACGGTGCAAACTGGACATTGTACTTTAGAACAAACGAGACATCAAGTGAGACTCAATGTTACCGTTATCCAAATTGATAGCATTGCCGTCACGTTGAATATAATAACTCTCAAATGCGTCTAACATTCGTTCATCTGCTATCTCTTTCACCAACTTTACATTGATGTTCATGTGGTTATAATTGAGTGCGTGTGCAGCAATTGCCGAACGATAACCTTGATTGTATTTGATGTAGCATTTATGCTCTTTGAAACGTGTCAAAATATCTCGTTCTGTCTGTCCGTAGTAGAATCTTTCACATTCATCGCATTTTATAGAATAAATGCAAGATTTTTGCATTTCATCAGTTTTATCTTTGGTTGAACCCAACAAATTAGACAATTTTCCATTGTTTTTATACACATTTTTTTTCATTTTATTCTATTGTAACATCCTATACCTTAATCAGCTAAACATTGTTTTCGTCAGACGATGAAATACTCATGACAGAGTGCAATAAAAGATATCTTATCTGCAGTTTTTTATTCAATTTCAATGTTTTATAATTACATAATTTTGTATATTTAGTTGTTTTACCTAACCTAAAACCTAATTATTCATTTGTCTTTGCCACGAAAAGATTTTTCACCTTGTTTGTGAAGTATTTTCTTACTGAAGATGTTATATAAGTCTTTTGATTATAGTTTTCAAAATTAATATTGAAAAAATAGGCAAAACGTAAATATGTTAGAGAATGTATGTCATCAAATGAATATCCGCCTATTGCGAGATCAATTTGGTTTTCTTCCGCTTCCAATATCATTTGCTCAGCTATTCTATCGTCTATAGCTGATATGAATAAAAATTCAATCGATGGATATTTTGTTTTTATTTTAACAACACTTAAGTCATTTATTGACTGTAATTGTATGGGATTGTTACTCAAAGATAAAGATCTCAAATTATTAAAGGATCCTTCATGCAGTTACCGTTCAGACTCAAAGTAAATAATGTATTGTCTGGTTCAACGAATATTTGAGATATTTGATTATTACTTAGAATCACCACTTCCACATTCGATGGTATAAAAAGACTAGTCAGGGACACATTGTTTATGTTCAATTCCTTCAACGAATTCAGATGTCTTATATCGATATTGCCTAACTTCGGATTATTTTCAGCAGAAAAATCCTCTAAATAGTCCAACATTTGAAGTATTTCAGATAAATTAGTTTTTAAATCATTATTGCTTAAATCCAAAACACCAATTAACATGTTATATCGAAATAAGTCTAAATCTATTATCTGGATTCGATTCGTATTCAAATTCAAATTTTCTAATTTTTTTAACGGTTTAAAAACATTTTTATCTTAATAAATTATTTGATTTGATGATAGATCCAAATATCGCAACGATTTTAAGCCGATGAATGCGTCGGATGCTGTTTCCTTGATTTTGTTATTGTGAAGCAACAGTTGATTCAGCTGTTTACAAAAGAACAGAAAACCATTGGTCAATTTTCCCAAACTATTGAAATCAGCGTCAATCCATTGTAATTGTTTCCATTGACATATTGACATTCCATCGATTGATGTTAAACTATTATTTCGAATTCTGAGAAATTTCACTTTCGGTGTTTTTTCTACAAAACGTCTGGGCACTGTTCTATTTTTGCCGTTAATTTGCAATTCAGTAATTGAATCATAACCTCTTATAAAAGTTCTTTGAGCGCAAGATACATTTGCATATTGTAAATCATCTGCTTGTATCGTACACGGCAAAATAGTCACATATCTATCCGTAAAACTATGTAAGTATGTATGAAATGATGGCAAGAGCGAATAACATATCACTGCCAATAGCAATAATCGCCTAAAATTGAGTAATAGATAAAAAAAATTAACGGCAAATTTACTAATTATAGCGATGGAATGGCAAATAACTAATTACATTTTGATCGATTCACTTCACCACTTGATACTTCTCAAACTTATTCACGTCAATGCAAGAATATTCAGTGTACGTCTAGCTACCGATAGATGACAAATTCACACACAACCTTTCTTTGTTGGTTCGAAAAACCAAATGAACATTCCAGCTTAGATACATTGTCTTACCATTTATGGACACAGACAGAAAATAAAATTCACATTCCTGACATGTCCAAGAAGATAAAAAAATTTGTGACCGGACACAAAGAACAGAAAATATAAAAACTGGTTTAAATAAAAAAATGCATAAATGCGTATTATTTTGTTGATCATTTTTTGAAATCAATAAAACAAATTTCATTTCGAGAATCGAAAAACTTAAATATATTTACATTTTTTTATTTCTACGTTTTAGAAATAAAACTACATCTGCGGAGGATAACATTAGTTTAAAATAAAATGATTAGAACTTATAACCAATTGAATGATAGCACTGCCTCTAGGGTATACGAGTTTTGTGATTTAAATTTTTACATGTGGAAAAAATAAATTATTTTTATTAATATCGAAAGAAAATACTTCAAATTATGTGAATAAAAATTCCTGAGCCCAGCAAATGAGGATTAGTTAGTTTAAAATAGTTTCAAAAATGCAGTTAGAGTGTATAATAATTAATTTTTTCATGGCATGCATTCTTACGCGCTTTTGAGCCTGCAGATAAAAATCTACCCATAAACCAATTGTCAAATGGATATAAAATGAAAGGCTGATCCTTTCTGAATGTATTTTAATTTATGTGTTATTTTTTTTAAACAGAATTTCACGAAAAAATACTGGAACAAAAAAAAAACCAAACGTTTAGACTAGTTTGGGCTTATGGTGTTACCATATGAATCGTATTTTATTTCAAGAAAGCAACTTCATGTTAAACGTTTCCGGAATTTACATAGTTCTGTCACAAACATTTCTGAAAAAGTACGCCACATTTGCTTTGATTTAATTTGTTTGTTTTATTCCATACTTCAACGAATAACATTCAAAAAAACTGTAAAAATTAAATCGGAAGCAGTGAAAAGTGAATGTTTCGTTAAATTACTTGAGAGTGAAAAATTTCTCTGACGTGAAAAAACCGGCTGATGTATTTGTATAATTTAACGTTACAGCATTCAACTGCAATTACACATGCGGTTCATGGTAGTTTTTCTGGAACAAAGTCTCAAGAGATTTTGGTATCGCGCGGCAAGAGCTTAGAATTATTACGACCAGATCCAAATACAGGGAAAATGCACACCCTTTTTACAGTTGAAGTATTTGGTGTTATACGATCGCTCATGACATTTCGTTTGATTGGTGGATCCAAAGGTAAAGAATAGTTTTGAGTTTTTGATTTATAAATTTTGATAATTTCCAATTAATTTATTTATAATTTAAATGCCACATATTCTGTAGATTTTGCTGTAGTTGGTTCTGACTCTGGGCGTATTATTATATTGGAATACATACCATCGAAAAACGTATTGGAAAAGGTGCATCAGGAAACATTTGGAAAATCGGGATGTCGTCGAATTGTACCTGGTCAATATTTAGCAATTGATCCAAAAGGTCGCGCTGTAATGATCGGTGCAGTTGAAAAACAAAAATTGGTTTATATTTTAAATCGCGATTCGGATGCTTGATTAACAATTTCCTCACCATTGGAGGCACATAAGTCCAACACTTTAACATATCATATGGTTGGTGTTGATGTTGGTTTTGAAAATCCAATGTTTGCATGTCTTGAAATCGACTACGAAAAATCTGACGCAGATCCATCTGGTGAAGCAGCTCAACAAACACAACAAACTCTGACCTTTTATGAACTCGATTTGTCATCAAATCATGTAGTACGAAAATATTCAGAGCCCCTAGAGGAGTATGCAAACTTTCTCATTTCAGTACCTGGAGGTATTTTTTCTGTTATTATTTTCAAAGTTCTTATTATTATATATATAATATATTATTATTATAAATTATCCTATTAACATTACTTTTCTGATAACTTTAGGTAAGGATGGACCTTCTGGTGTTTTGATTTGTTCTGAAAATTATTTAACAGATACGAAGACGTAACGATTTGGATGATCCCGAACGGGGCATGATTTTTGTTTGTTCTGCTACCCATCGCACAAAATCAATGTATTTTTTTCCTAGTCTAGTCTGAACAAGGCGATATATTCAAAGTGACATTGGAAACAGAAGATGATGTTGTATCCGAGATAAAACTCAAGTATTTTGATACAGTACCACCAGCAACGTCAATGTGTGTCCTGAAAACTGGATTTCTATTCATTGCTTGTGATTTTCGGAATCAGTAAGGATAAAAAATTACGACAAATTATTATTATTATTATTACTGTACAATTTGTTTCTATTTTCTAGTTATTTGTACCAAATTGCTCATGTGGGAGATGAAGACGATGAGCCTGAATTTAGTTTAGCAATGCCTTTAGAAGAAGGTGATACATTTTTCTTTGCGCCTCGGCTTTTGAAAAATTTATTAATGGTGGATGAGGTACATTCGTACGCACCAATATTGGGGTGCCAAGTTGCAGACTTAGCCAATGAAGATACACCACAGTTATATTTAATGTGTGGCCGAGGTCCGCGCTCTTCATTACAAGTATTACGTCATGGATTGGAAGTGTCTGAAATGGCTGTATCTGAGCTTCCTGGAAATCCAAATGCCGTTTGGACAGTTAAAAAACGAGCTGATGGTAATTTAACCAAACAATTTAATACTTTTAATATTAATCATTTCGAATTAAATACAATAAACTATTTAATTCTCCAATATTAAAGATGAATGTGATGCGTATATCATTGTTTCGTTTTTGAATGCCACCTTGGTGATTGGCATTGGTGACACCGTTGAAGAAGTAACAGATAGCGGTTTTCTGGAAACTACTCCTACACTTTGTTGCTCTTCTCTTGGTGATGATGCATTGGTACAAGTATATCCTGGAGGTAGGGGACTACAATATGTTAAGGCATTTTTCTATTATTTTTTTGCAATTATAAATGCTTCTTCCTGTTAATTTTGGGTATTCGACCTATTCGAGCAGATAAACGAGTCAATGAGTGGAAAGCACCCGGGAAGAAAACAATATCGAAATGTGCAGTTAATCAACGACAAGTCGTGATTGCTTTATCTGGTGGCGAGTTGGTGTATTTTGAAATGGATCCAGTATGATAGATCAATTAGGTGCCTAACTGTAAAGTATATTCATTGTTTTTTGTTACTTCTGAATATACAGAGAGAAAGCGGATGCCTTCAGATGTTTTATGCATGGCTCTGGGTACAGTGCCGCCAGGCGAACAACGTTCCTGGTTTTAAGCCTTTGGATTGGCTGACAATACAGTTCGCATAATATCATTGGACCCCTCCGAATGCTTATCACCAAGATCGATGCAAGCCCTACTTCATCAGCTGAGTCTTTGTGTATTGTTGAAATGGGTTTTGCAGATTCAATTGAAACTGAAAGTGGAAACATGCAAACAAGAGGGTCATTACATTTGAACATTGGTTTAAGTAATGGCGTTTTACTTCGTACATCATTAGATCCTGTGACTGGTGATTTGGCAGATACAAGGACACGTTATTTGGGATCTCGACCAGTTAAACTATTCCGCATAAAAATTGAAGGCTACGAATCTGTCCTAGCAATGTCTAGCCGAACTTGGTTGAGCTACTATTTCCAAAACCGGTTTTATTTGACGCCATTGTCGTATGAATCACAAGAATTTGCTTCAGGGTTTTCTAGTGAACAATGTTCGGAAGGAATTGTTGCCATTTCTACAAATACTTTGAGAATTCTGGCTTTGGAAAAACTTGGTGCAGTTTTCAATCAAATCACGTTCCCACTCGAATACACGCCTCGTCGCTTTACAATACATAGCGATACATGTCGACTGATAGTTGCTGAAACTGATCATAATGCTTACACAGAAGATACCAAAAGTATTCGTAAAGTGCAAATGGCTGAGGAGATGCGAGAAGTAGCAGGAGAAGATGAACAAGATTTGGCCAATGAAATGGCAGAAGCTTTCATCAATGAAGTACTGCCTGAAAATATATTTTCAGCACCAAAGGCTGGAGTTGGTATGTGGGCGTCAGTTATTCGTATAATTGAGCCAGCTCATGGACATACAATACATAAGGTAAAATTGGCGCAAAATGAAGCAATCGTCTCAATGTGCACCGCAAAATTTCACTCGACAATGGATGGAAGAACATACTTGGCTATTGGTATTGCAAAAGAACTGCAGTTGAATCCACGATTAAACAATGGTGGATGCATTGATATTTATCGCATTGATGTCACATGTTCTAATTTGGAGCTCGTTCATCGTACTGAAAAGGATGAAGTGCCATTTAAATAAAAGGTCGACCAGAAAATTAACAAACATTTTGAATTGGTTTCCATCAATTTCATTCAGTGAACGTTTTTTTTTCCAATAGGGATCACAGTGATGTTCAAAAAAAAGTTCTCGCTAAGTTGACAGTGACATTTGTGTATGCATCGCAATGACAGAAGACATTCCTCGTTAAATATAGAAGCAAAACTCTTTTGCGTCGACTCCAGTATAGTTTTCTATATTCAAGCAATAAAAATACAGGCAAAAATGGCTGAGGGTGGAGAACCAACATCATATAGTAAATATAAGAATTTATTGAGAGAAGAAGAGAAAATTAAGAACATTTTTTGTTTGATGAATAGAGCGTAATAACGTCGAACTGGTGCAATCTGTCCAATCGATGAATGATATGGCTATTCGGGAGAAATCAACCGCTTATTATGATATCATTAGTTTTATAAGTAGGATAAATCGGGCAGTTCGAGGGAAGAAATTGAGCACAAAATTGAATCCGTCACCAATTGCAGATGATTTGCTTCATATCTTTGATGATTTGAATAAAATGATAGATGAAACACCATCGACATTCGGCGATTGGTTTGAAAAGATGAAAAGAACCTCAACGGGATTGTTAGAAGAAGCATTACCAGTGGTATTTCAACATGCACTCATTGAAGTCAGCACATATTTTATTGAATCATTTGGTAATGCGACACGAAATGACTATGGAACCGGTCATGAATTGGCATTCATCATGTTTTTGTGTGCACTTTATAAAATCCATGCATTGACCGAAAGGGATAATTTATACGTTGGATTGAAAATATTCAATGCATATTTACAACTTGTACGTCGATTGCAGTTAACATATGGCATGGGACTCGCTGGTAGTCATGGTGTTTCGAGCATGGATGACGATCAATATGTACATGTACAATTCATTTGGGGGAGCGCTCAGCTTTCTGTTAAGGAACCGTTCGAACCAAAATGTTTCCTTGAAATCGATGTCAACAATCGATACAAAAATGAATACTACTTCATTGGATATATTGATCACATTGTACGGGTTTGTAATTGAGCCAAGCAAAATGTGCTGAAAAATTTCGTTGAATTCGATTCATGGGATTTTAATTTCTATTTCATAAACAGGTGAAAACTGGTAGTTTCGCCGAACATTCAAAGCAGTTATCGAGCCTGTGCAGCGTTGATTCATGGGAAATAATTAATTCCATTCTCATCGAGAAATATGAAAATGAGGTAAATGACGGAATATTACACAGTTTTTTTGCATAAAGAATTTTTAGACATGATTTACGATTTTTATTTCAAGCAAATTGAGTCAATTGAACTCCAATTTGTTAACCTAAAAAAAAAAACTAAAATGAAAACGAATCCTTTGTCTATTACAGTTGCTTGCAAAATTCCCTGTGATTCAACATTTGCTGTTAGGATCAGTTTTAAAATTGAAGGAAATTTCCGATCATCAAAAAGAGATCGATCGCCAAAAAGTTTTCCAAGTCATTCTGGATCAAGTCATTACGGATCATCTCAGCAAATCGACACCGATTTGGGAAATGATTTCATCTCAATTGGTATGGTTTATTAGCTTGCATGGTGTGGTTGGTTAGTTTGGTTAATTTTTCGAATTTGCCACTGGGCTTGGAAAACATTCGATCAACTAACTCCACCACCTACACCCAAATAAAAGCTTGGCTCTAGTTGTTTGCAATGTTAATTTACCGAAAAATATTATTTGATGATGAATTTTCTAAATTTATAAACAGTCGTTTTTTTTGTAGTTTTATATGATTTTAAATGATTTTGCGGTAGAAATGGACTTCGAAGAGAGCTTTTATTTTGAAATTGTTTATTTATTTCCATGCAGAATATATTTTAATTATAATTTGAAAAAAGTTTGGTTTACATTTTTACCTCAAAAGTGAATGCAATAAATCATAAATCGGCTTCCTATAGAGCCATCAGATGAAAATCGTTCTTATTTTTGTTTATTTATTTATTTAGTTTAGAATGTTTTCTTATGGATTCACTACAATTTCGAAAATTTGGAACATTTTTATGGATTTTTTTAAGGCTCAGTTTCTCATGATGTGCAAATTTGATGCAAAAAAAGTATTCGGCCAAGCCACATAAATTCAATTTTTACGCAGAATGCTGCATAAGAAAGACACTAGTTTCAAATAAAAAAGATAAATTATTAACATTTCTTGCGATTTCATGTCATTTTTCAAACTGACTCCTATATGAATCGTTGCGGGGAAAAAGTAGCTCTCCGCAACAATTCATATATCGGACATGATGTGATGTTTATGCATGTTTTTATGCGTGCGCCAAGTGCTTGTCACTGGTTGGAAACGTCCTTAAACTGAATGCACAAACTAATATCATCATCTAATAGTCAATCAAAGTGGAAATCATTGCATAGTACCCACAGAAATGAATGAGTCATAAACAATGTATCCGAATTCAACGAATTCTTATATTTTTTTATCATTTTCTTATTTTCCAGAGGTGGACAACAATTTCAAACAAGATTTTGAAACTTATTTCTGGAAGGAAACATTAGAAACCAAACCATACAAAGGATTTTATCAAAGGTTAAATATTTATTTTTTATCAAAGGTTAAATATTTATATAAATTTTGGTACATATATTGGTAGTGCAATTTGAAAATGTCGTTTTTTTGGTAAAAATAAAACTTTATTTCATAAATTCTATAAATAACATGTCATTCAAAGCATTGGCCACTGGAAGCTATAACCTTTTCCCATCTTTCTGGCAGCATATGGATTCCGCGCCAAAAGAACTGCACATTTTTTGAGGTTAGGAAAGAATCATTCCAATTTTTGATACCTTCAATTGAAGTGAAGCGTATTCCAGACAAGGCACTCTGCATCGATCGAAACAAATGATAGTCATCAGAAGAGGCAATATCTGGGCTATACGGCGGGTGGGGCAAAACTTCCCATCCACTATTTTCCAAATAGTTTTTAACCGGTTGAGCAATATGAGGCCGAGCGTTGTCATGATGGAAAATTATTGACTCATGTCTGGTCGCATATTCTGGCCGTTTTTCGTTCAATGCTCTCTTTAAACGGATCAATTGTGTTCGATACAGGTCTCTCGTGATCGTTTCACCCGGTTTTAACAGCTCATAATAGAGGACACCCTTCTGATCCCACCAAATACAGAGCATTACCTTAGTACAATAAATATCTTGCTTGGGCGTTGATTTTGCTCGTTTACCGCGCTTCTACTACGATTTCTTACGCTTCGGGTTTTCGTAATGAATACATTTTTCATCACCACTAACAATTCGATGCAAAAACGACTTCCTTTTGTGGCGCTCAAGCAGCATTTCGGACATGCAAAATCGTCTTTCAACGTCTCTTGGTTTCAATTCATGTGGTACCCAATTTCCTTGCTTTTTATTGAATCCTTATGCTTTTAAACGTTTTGAAATGGCTTGGTGAGTCACTCATAATGATTTTGCAAGTTCTTCTTGAGTTTGATACGAATCTTGATCGAGTAATACCTCCAATTCTTCATTTTCAAACTTTTTTGGCTGCCCAGGACGTTCTTTGTCTTCTGTGTCGAAATCACCACTTTTGAATTTAATAGCTTTTTTGGCGCTCTTTAAGATACACTTGTTGTCACTGTCAAAAAAATGGTGCGTATGATACATAAGAAGTTGACACAAATACGACATTTTTAAGTTGCACTACCAATATTTAATTCGATTAGTTTAACCTTCGTCTGCTCCTCAAAAGAAAATTACATCAAATATTGGAATGTATGTGTTTTCTTCATATACTAGCGTAAATTAAGCATTAACCGCTCAGCTTCTGGAAAATGTCGATGGCACCATTTCCAATGCATTGAATCTTTTGCAACCACATGCAGAAAAATGAACGAATTTTTTTCGATATTTTTTTCTTTACTTTTTTCGTATTTTATCACATATATTATGCAAAGCTTTGCAATTACTTTATTATCTATGCATAGATTTGTGGATTGTAGAACGTATTCAAAGCTGTTGGGAATCCTGTGAATAATATAGAGTTTATCAATAAAATAATATATCCGCAGAAAAAAATTCATTTGTTTTTGTTTGCAACATATATTAGGAAGTAGAATTTTTAAGAAATAAAACATAAATTGCGTTCACATTGCCTTATTAGTCAATTAATACTTGCATGAGAGTATTTAAGTATAGTGTACTCAAACAAAAAATCATCAAATGAAATTCAAATTTATTTTATTATTTAAAAAAAGTATTTTTCTATTCCAGTTTTAGAGGTGTTTTGGGAAGCTTAACCGTATTAAACTCAGTTTTAGGAATTTTATTAGCTTTTATGACTGGGGGCTACTGCGATTACTTCACCACACCAAAATTTCCAATCATATTAACTGCCATATATGTTTTGTTCATAACTTTTCCCGAGTCTCCATTGGTTGTCATCAAACAAAATAAAATCGCGGTAAATGTTCCTCTGTCGCTACTTATTTTGTCTCCATTTTGAAAAAAAAAAAACTTGAAAAATTTTTTTAAACAGGAGGCAGAATATTCGATTAAATTCTACCAAAATCTAAGCATTTTTGAGCTTACTTAGAGAATTTTCTGAATAATTGAATTTCTTTTAAGAAGACCCTGTTTCACACAGTTTTTTTTTCTCTACCTAACGTCGACCATTTTTTCCTACGTTATTTTCATTTTTTGCCTGGGATCCATTCATTACGCACATCAGAGGACTATAATCTTTCTTCAAACACATTTTTTCCCTTCAGTCTAATTGCTGTTTTTTGTAGTTTTAAGAGTGGGCTGTATAGGAGAAAATCGTAGTATCTCCAATGATGGTTGTATCAACGTGTTTTTCGAGCATAGTGTTATTTAAAAAAAAAAGCCAACCAGAGCGTCAACGTCACACTCAACTACTTTGTAAACTAAAATCAACTTCAGAAACCTCAACTCAAAGTGTGGTCGATAATAGCAACAACGTCATCATGTCAGTGTGCACGAGAACAAAACCGAATCCATTGTGCACAGCTTCAAACACAGCAATGACACTTTTCATTCTTGTCTAAACTCGAAGAGGAGAAAAAAGCGCTCTTTTTCCTTCTCTGTTTGTTATTTGGGGTGCGTTAACATCACTGATAACATGTAGACGCTCAACATTTGGGGTAGTTGATAAAGTGTATCGTACAAAATTATCCATTGCCACAAAATTCATATAAACAAAGATCTGTCTATACTTCACTTGTCCATATAGTCAAAACCTCATTCATTTGCTATCCAGCAATGTTGTTTATGCAATAGAAACCACTGGAGAATTGTTAATTTATTGGATAGGTAGTCAATTTCCGGTCGATGTCAACTTTCGAAAAATCGTATTCGAAAAATGTCCATATATTCGTGTTTATATACATTTTATATGCAAAAAACACGTATGAACATTTTTTGCTCTCCTGGCCACAATTTTGATCGGATCGAAATTTTAATGCACACATTCACACATTTGATGCACATATTCCTCGTCAATACCTTTCCAATGGTATGCTTAAAATTTCGATCCGATAAAAATTGTGGCCAGGAGAAGTACAAAACTTTTTTGCTTAGCGTATTTATATATAAGATAAGGACTCATCTTGAATAAACCACCAAGACGAAGGAACGCTGTTCGGTGCAGTTATTATTATTAAGATTTGATCGAGTTTTGTGACCCACCGGCCTTAAAACCCGCCGGTGTGTTTTCTTATTCGATGACAGCAGCATGTTAACAAAATCATCAAATCCCAGTAATGTACCCACCATTTCCCAAGAATATTTGGGGGTGGGGTTATCCTAGGAACCCTCGTCAAGACCTATGGTCACATTCTTTTTTCATTAAGTCAGCACACACATTCTCCAGTAATTGGTAACCATCGTAAGTTGTTTTTGAATTAATTTTTGCATAAGAAATTATTAGTAGGTCCAGTTTTTTGGTGTTATAAATCAATCAGTTTTACATGTCTAATGGCCAAATACACAGTACAACGTATCACCGATTTCAAGAATATAGTATGAAGTGAATTTAAAAATTTTTTTTGCACAAGATCGCAAAATTCCAGTTCAATACTAGGGTTGTACAGAAAAGTGAAACTTCGCCAAATGTTAATTCATAAATATTGTTTTTTTGAATGATTAACGATAACAGCAATGTCGTTTCTCCGACATATAATAAGAAGAGCACTAATATTCAGTGATGGTTTTTTTTCTATCTGAATAGCGCTAGCTATTCGCAGCGCCTGTACAGCATTGCTGTCCAGATGCTGAATCGTACTGTCAAATGAATTTGCGAAAAGCACTTTCCACCGGAATTATATCTATGAAACTCAATAAAAAAGTATTTTCGTATCTATTATAAATCACCTATGTACTAGCTAGAATAAGTTAATGGGTTCAAAAAATTTTTTTTAACTTACTTGAAAAACTTATCGAACATAAATTCATCTACTTGGGTTGGACCAGTACCATAAAGTTTCAGTACAGATTCATTTTCAGGCCAATAACTGTAGAGAGCCCGAAACTGGCAGCCAGCATCCCGAAACAATATGAGAAAGTGTTTTGCATCGCTTCGATTTATTTTATCAAGCAATTTTTGCTTAGCATCACGGTTTACTACTCCTGGAAAAACGCAGTATTCAACAGCATTTAGAATTATACCTCGGTTGGATTTGGTCGTTGGCTGTTTGTATAATTTGGGACCTAGTAGTGCAGAAAGAATAAATTATTATTATAATTGGATCTTTTTTATGACAGGCTCATTATATTTGATTTCGATTGCATTGTGGTGCTTCCCAAAATTCAATAAATGAAAGTCACTCATTGTGCATTGAAACAGCTCA